GTGGCTCAGTCAGTTAAGCAGCTGCTTTCAGCTCAGGTCATGATCCTGGGGTCCCGGGATTGAGCCCCGTGTCTAGCTCCCGGCTCAGCAGAGAGCCTGCTTCTCCCTCTCCCTCTGCCTGTCACTCTGCCTACTTGTGCTCTCTATCTGTCAAATAAATAAAATCTTAAATAAATAAATAAATAAAAATCAGCCAAGGAACTCACAAAATAAAAAGATGTCAAATATGACACCATATACCTAAAATTTGCGGAGGAGAGGAGTAAAGAATGGGTTCAAACTTAAACAACCATCATATATACAAACCTCATGATAACCACCAATAAATTGCAGAGAATAAAGAGAAAGAAATCCAAATATATCACTAAGGAAAACCAGCAAATCATGAAAGAGAGAAAGACAAGGCAGAAACAACTACAAAACAAGTAATAAAATGGCAATTAATCTACCAATAATTACTTTGAATGTAAATGAATTAAACACTCCAATCAAAAGACAAAGGATGATAAAATGGGTAAAAAAACAAGACCCATCTATATCTATAGTCTACGGGAGACCATCTGTAGACTACAAAGACTCATTTTTTTTTTTTAAGATTTTATTTATTTATTTGACAGAGAGCGATATAGCGAGAGAGGGAAGACAAGCAGGGGGAAATGGGAGAGGGAGAAGCAGGCTTCCCGTTGAGCAGAGAGCCCAATGCAGGGCTCAATCCCAGGACCCTGGGACCATGACCTGAGCCGAACGCAGATGCCTAATGATTGAGCCACCCAGGTGCCCCTACAAAGACTAATTTTAGACCTAAAGACACCTGCATATTGGAAGTGAGGGGATGGAGAAATATTTATCATGCAAATGGATGTAAAAAGAAAGCTGGAGTAGGGGCACTTGGGTGGCTCAGTCGTTAAGCATCTGCCTTTGGCTTAGGTCATGATCCCAGGGTCTGGGGATTGAGTCCTGCTCAGCTGGGAGTCTGCTTCTCTCTCTCTCTTTCTCAAATAAATAAATAAAATCTTTAAAAAAGAAAGAAAGAAAGCTAGAGTAGCAATACTTAGACAAAACAGACTTTAAAAAAAAGACTATAACAAGAGACAAAGAAGGACACTAAAATAATGAAGGGGACAATCCAGCAAGAAGATATAACAATTTTAAATATTTATGGGAGCACCCAAATACATAAAACAGTTAATAACAAACATAAAAGAACTAATCAATAATAATACAATAAGAGTAGGGGACTTCAACACCCCGCTTACATCAATGGACAGATCATCTAAACAGAAAATCAAGGAAACAATGGCTTTGAATGACATACTGGACCAGATGGATTTAACAAATATATTAAGAACATTCCATTCTAAGAAGAATACACACTCTTTTCAAGTGCAGATGGAATGTTCTCCAGAATAGATCACATATTAGGTTGCAAAACAAACCTCAACAAATTCCAAAAGAGCGAAGTTATACCATGCATATTTTCTGACCATAATGCTACGAAACCAGAAGTCAACCATAAAAAATCTGGAAAGACCACGAATACACAGAGGTTAAATAACATGCTACTAAACAATGAATGGGTCAACCAGGAAATAAAAGAAGAAATAAAAAAGTACATGGAAACAAATGAAAATGAAAACACAACATTTCAAAACCTTTGGGATGCAGCAAAAGCAGTCCTAAGAGGGAAGTTTATAGCAATACAAGCCTACCTCGGGGTGCCTGGGTGGCTCAGTTGTTAAGTGTCTGCCTTCGGCTCAGGTCATGATCCCAGGGTCCTGGGATCGAGCCCCGCATCGGGCTCCCTGCTTGGCAGGAGGCCTGCTTCTCCCTCTCTCACTCCCCCTGCTTGTGTTCTCTCTCTCATTGTCTCTCTCTCTCTCTGTCAAATAAATAAAATCTTTAAAAAAAAAAAAAAATACAAGCCTACCTCAAGAAGCAAGAAAAATCTCAAACAACCTATCCTTACTCCTAAAGGAGCTAGAAAAACAAACAAAGCCTAAAACTAGCAGAAAGAAGGAAATAATAAAGATTAGAGCAGAAACAAATGATATAGAAACTAAAAAAACAGTAGAACAGATCAATAAAATCAGGAGCTGGTTCTTTGAAAAAAAATCAATAAAATTGATAAACCCCTAGCCAGACTCCTCAAGAAAAAAAGAGAAAGGACCCAGACATATGAAATCACAAATGAAAGAGGAAAAATAACAAACACCACAGAAATACAAACAATTGTAAGAGAATATTATGAAAAACTATTTGCCAGCAAGTTGGACAATAGAAGAAATGGATAAATTCTTAGAAACATAACTTACCAAAACTAAAACAGGAAGAAATAGAAAATTTGAACAGTCCCATTACCAGCAAAGAAATTGAATCAGTACTCAAAAAACTCCCAACAAAAAGTTCAGGGCCAGACGGTTTCACAGGTGAATTCTACCAGACATTTAAAAAGAGTTAATGCCTGTTCTTCTCAAAAAATAGAAAATAGAAAAGGAAGGAAAACTTCCAAATTCATTTTATGAGGCCAGCATTACCCTGAAACCAAAACCAGATAAAGACCCCACAATAAAAGAGAACCACAGGCCAGATCTCTGATGAACATAGATGCAGATATCCTCAACAAAGTACTAGCAAACTGAATACAGCAATACATAAAATCATTCACCACAATCAAGTGAGATTTTTTTCCTGGGTTGCAAGGGTGGGTCAATATTTGCCAATCAATCAACATGGTACATCACATCAATAAAGGAAAGGATAAGAACCAGGGGCGCCTGGGTGGCTCAGTTGTTAAGCGTCTGCCTTTGGCTCAGGTCATGGTTCCAGGGTCCTAGGATCGAGCCCCCCATCAGGCTCCCTGCTCAGTGGGAAGCCTGCTTCTCCCTCCCCCACTCCCCTGCTTGTGTTCCCTCTCTCGCTGTGTCTTTCTCTGTCAAATAAATAAATAAAATCTTTAAAAAAAAAAAAAAGAAAGGATAAGAACCATAGGATCATTTCAGTAGACACAGAAAAAGCATTTGACAAAGTACAACATTGATCCATGATAAAACCCTCAACAGGGGCACCTGGGTGGCTCAGTCGTTGAGCGTCTGCCTTCAGCTCAGGTCATGATCCCAGGGTCCTGGAATTGAGCCCCGCATCGGGCTCTCTGCTCAAGCAGGAAGCCTGCTTCTCCCTCTCCCACTCCCCCTGCTTGTGTTCCCTCTCTCGCTGTCTCTCTCTGTCAAATAAATAAATAAAATCTTAAAAAAAAAAAAAAATTTAAGTTACCCACCCAGTTAAAAAAAAAAAAAGAAAACCCTCAACAGAGTAGGTTTAGATACCACATGAAGAGATGCTTATCATCACCCATCATCAAGGAAATGCAAATCAATGTCCGTGTCCTCAGTGTACATTCTAGTTGAGGAGAGACAGTAAACAAACATGCTGTATAGTCAGCTGGAATTAAATGCTGTGAAGAAAAAGAAAAAGGAAGCAGTGGAAGGGAATGAAGTGTGGTAGAAGTGCTGAGTGAGGTAGGGTGGTCAGAAAGGCCTCTCTGAGGATGAAACATTTGAGGAAGGATCAGAATGAGAACAGGGGCAAGCCACACAGCTATTTCATGGCCAGCCCGCTTGCTTTCCCTCTGTTGGGCTTTACGATGATGTCATTGCCTTATATTTGGAAAAATGTTATTAAAAACATTCCTTCCCATATTGCCTTCACTCTTAGAACCTAACTCGAGAGAAATTCCTTTCTAGTGGTAGAATCATATAATCCTATCCCTGTGCAGCTGATTTGTTTTTATCCCACAGACATGGGAAATATAACTGACAGTTTCCCTTTTCACACTGGCTACTAGAAAACTCAGATAAATTTGTGGCCCATCCTCGCCTGGGTGGCTCAGTTGGTTAAGCGACTGCCTTCAGCTCAGGTCATGGTCCCGGAGTCCTGGGATCGAGTCCCACATCGGGCTCCTGGCTCAGCGGGGAGCCTGCTTCTCCCTCTGACCCTCTCCCCTCTCATGCTGTTTCTCTCTCTCTCTCTCTCTCTCAAATAAATAAATAAATAAATAAAATCTTTAAAAAAAAATTTTGTGGCCCATCCATAGTTGCCATAGTAATCGTGAAGGTCATTATGGTATGCATTCTTAGTTTTTTGAGCTCCATTCCGCTTAAGGCTTGCTCTTTAATTCTGCCATGAATTTGTGCCACCTTGTTGTATTTTGTGTATTCATGTAAACTAGTCAAAATCTTTTTGGAATAAAGTACAGTGGTGAATTATAAACATTGTACGTTCATTAAAAAAAGGAAACACGTGGAGAAATAAAGTATTTCTTCTCTAGGTCATTGATTCTGAACTTGGGGCAGTTTTGTCCTTTAAAGATTTTTTAAATTTATTTTTTGACAGAGACAGCGAGAGAGGGGACACAAGCAGGGGGAGTGGGAGAGGGAGAAGCAGGCTTCCTGCCGATCAGGGAGCCCAATGCGGGGCTTGATCCCAGGACCCTGGGATCATGACCCGAGCCGAAGGCAGACACTAAACGACTGAGCCACCCAGGCGCCCCAGTTTTGTCCTTTAGGGGATATCTGGCAGTATCTGATTCTCAGTTGGGAAGTGCTGCTGGCACCCTAAAAAGAGTATATAGTCCAAAATGTCGACAATGCTAAGGTTGGGAAACCTTACAGTAGACTGGACCATTCGATCCATAATTTCATACATTTCTGGGCTACTTTGTTACATAAATGACAAATGTGTTCCCATGTAGCTTACTCTGGCATACCAATGTATATTCTGAGTGTGATTGTTGAGTCACCCTTCCACTAAATCTGTTATCAGTCAAATAGCCCTGAAAGCAATAGTTTCCTCTTCAGAAATCTATATTATCAGGTCACAAAGTCACAACTTCAGGTCAGCAAAATTGGGGAGAAGGGTGCTTTTCATTTGAGCTCCAGTATTTTGAATGTTTGAGTAAGCAACGTATTTAAAATGAGACTGTTCATCCTCCATTCTGTTTACAGGCTTTCATAGAGACCATGTTTGCCAGTAAAGCTCCCATGGAGGAAGGCTTCCTTTATGCTAAGGTGAGCTTTAAAAGATTGGAAAGGTTTTTTTGGAGGCAAAAATAGTAATAAGTAAAGTAATTCCATTGATTTGCAGATGGCATCCAGTGGGCTTTCGTGTAAGTGACCAGGATATCAGTGGAGAGGATTGGGTTCTTAAATGTCACTGATAATTTGTTAGATGTGTCTAAAATACACAGAGCTACAGTTAAATGAAAACTGCAAAGCAGAACAGATGAAGAAGCAAAGACTTAGTCAAATGTGAGCGAGAATACTGTTTAAGTAAACGTAAAGGAGGAGAATCAGAGTAGTACTGGAAAGAGCAGCAGCTGCTCACCAGTCTCCAGCTCCATCCTTGGACAAAGTGAAATTAGTAGAATTTACCATCTGCCTAGCATCCTTTTTCACTTTTCCAGCACATTGAGGCTGGTAGCTATTTGAAAAGTTGAAATTTAGTGATTCAGAGCTGTTGTTAAAACTGCAAGCTGTATTCTAGTGTTTATCTAAATAAGAATAAAACACAGGAACTTTACTCGACTGTATCTCTGTACTCAGCCTTGATCGTAGGTTTTCTGTGTTCTCTTCTGGACTTAATTTGAAAATCATAGGAAATTTGGAGCACTCAGGAACAGAACAGACGTAAGAATAGGGTCAAATAACAGGATGGTGGGGGGAATAAAAAATGGACTGGAATTGCAGCATGAGAAGTTTGGTTAGATTTGATAACTTGTTTTCCAGTAATGACAGAAAAGAAGTACGTGAATGGAGGGATGGGCTGTTTGTTGGAGAGAGCCTGGGCTGGCACAGCCCTGAGGAAATCCTGTCTTCTGTGTTGTTTTTCAGTTTGAATTTGAATGCCGGGCCCGGGGTGCAGACATCTTAGCCTACCCGCCCGTGGTCGCTGGAGGTAATCGGTCAAACACTTTGCACTATGTGAAGAATAATCAGCTCATCAAGGTACGTGAAATACCCTTCAGTGCCACTTCCTGTGGTGCCACTTCTAGAGCACTTTATTGTTTATAAAATGATTTTACAGACATTATCTCATTTGATTCTCGCGTTAGCACTGTGAGATAGGAGCAATTATTAACATGCCTGTTCAACAGATGAGGAAAATAAAAATTAGGCAACTCATTAGGGCAGAGCTGAGAATTCTACTCTAAAGCCTCTGCTCATTTTTTTCCCTGCTCATATTTTTTAATAACACTCCTTCTCAAAGGACTTGGGCCACAGTGGGCCATGCATATTTTGGGAGCAGACAGATTTTAATAGTACCTTATTAGCTGTGAGGGAGTATCTTTTATGATTTTCTCCCTAAGTGACTATACAAGTAGAGAATTGTATATGCCTTTATTAAGTCCACTTTTTTTTTTTAAAGGTAGGGAAAGGGGTTTTTGTTTTGTTTTAAGTAGGCTCGATGCTCAGCATGGAGCCCAGTGCAGCACTTAAACTCATGACCCTAAGATCAAGACCTGAGCTGAGATCAAGAGTCAGACACTTAACCAACTGAGCCACCCAGGCATCCAAAGTCCACTTTTAATTATCTGTTTTAATTTTCAGTAATTTCAGAAAAATAAATTTAGCATATATGTAAATTACACAGCATATTTTTTAAATGAATACTCATGAACTGATCACTCAGCTCAAGAGCTAGAACATCACCAGTTCTTTGCATCTACTCACATGTCTTTATGCTTGGCTATCCTGTTGCCTCCCTCCCAGAGGTAACTAACTGGTTATCCCAAATTTTTGTTTGTCTTCCCTTGATTTTAAGTAGTTGTATCATGTATACATGATTCCCCAAACAATATTAATTAGTTCTGCTTGTAAAAAGAAAAAAATTAGTTCTGCTTGTTTGTGAACTACCTAAAAATTATACTGCTATATATAGTTTTTTGGAAATTTTTTTTATTCACAAGTATGATAAGATAATACAAAATTTTTTCCCCAAGTATTTGTATCTGTTTATACTCCTACCAGTGGTGTGTAATTCTATTGACCACATCCTCTCTATCCCTTGATGTTATCAGACTTCTTAATTTCTGCTATTCTAATTGGTATAAAGCAGTATCTCATTGTGGTCTTAATTTCTGTTACCTTAATTACCAGTGAAATTAAGCATCTTTTTTATCTTTAGCACTACTAGTTTCAACTTGCTAATGTGTTGTTTAGGATATTCTGATTTGTGTTCATGAGTGAGATTGGCTTATTTTTCTCATACTATCTTTTTCTGATTTTCATATCAAGTCCAAACTACGCTTATAGAATGAGTAGTTTCTTTTTTTAATATTGTGAAATGATTTGAGTTAATGTTTTTTTGAAAATTGGGCGGAATATACCTATAGAACTTTTGGGGCCTGATATTTTCCTTTGTAAACTTTTTTTAACTACTGATTCAATTTCTTTAATATACTAAAGTTCTCTGTTTCTTTTTTTTTCCTTTTTGACATTTCTTATTTTAAAATGGAACTACTGGTAAAGTACTTAAAACATAAAGGAACAGTTTAATAATTATAAAGTGGACACCCATGTAACCATTACCATGTCAAATAAAACAAGTATTGGCAAGCTACAGCTCTCTGCACCAAATCCAGCCTGCCATTTTGTTTTGTGAATAAAGTTTTATTGGAATACAGCTGTTCCTGCTTTCTTCCCACAATGGCAGAGTTGAGTAGTTGCACCAGAGACAGTATGGTCCAGAAAGTAAAAAATATGTACTATCTAGCCCTTTACAGAAAAAAATTGTGAATGCCTGAAACAGGACATTACTATCCCTCCACCCCTAAGAAGCTTTTCCACCATGTGGTTCTTCCCAATGATAACTTCTCTCCCTAGTGAGATAACCACTCTCCTGATTTTGATGGTCATCATTTCTTTGCTTTTCATTTTATTTTACTACTAATAAACAATATGGTTTAACATAGTTTGGCTTTGGTCATGTTTGAGCTTTATATATTTGAAATACTAGGTCTGTGTCTTTTTCAAATAACAGTATGTTGTTGCATACCACGGCAGTGTGTTCATTTTAATTGTTGTAGTATAGAACAGCAATTAAAGTGTGGTCTGTGAGGTTAAATACATTTTTATAAGACTACCCAGACATTATTTGTCTTTTCCACTCTCATTCTCTCAAGTGTACAAGGAAGTAACCCAGCAGCTTTATGACCTGCAATATCACACCAGATTGAAGGGGGAGAAGTAGATATGAGATTCCGTTTTCTGTTATGCTAGACAAAGAGATTTGTAAAACTATGTAACAGTGCCACATTTCTAACTGCATATTTTTATTTAGAAAAATAGTTACTTTTCATTAAAAATGTTATTTATCTTAATATGTAATTATTGTTATTTTTAAACAAATCAGCAAATACTGCAAAGCTTTCTCAGTTTTAATTTATTAGTGTGATAAATAAATACCCATAGGTGGCCATTTATATAGTTTCTAAGTTTTTACCATTATAAACAATGTTCTGTGAACATTCTTATATGTTATTCCTAGTATACATATTATCAAATTTGTCTAAGGGACACATAAGAATAGAATTGATGGGCCATAGGTATGCATATTTGCACTTTAGTAGAAAATACCAAACATTTCCAAAGTGATTATATCAATTTATACTTCACTTTTCCTGAGACAGTTTGGTAGGTTATATTTTTCTACCATTTTGTCTAAATTTTATTTATTTATTTTTTTAAAGATTTTATTTATTTATTCATGAGAGACAGAGAGAGAGAGAGAGAGGCAGAGGGAGAAGCAGGCTCCCAAGGAGCAGGGAGCCCGATGTGGGACTCGATCCCAGGGCCCTGGGATCATGACCTGAGCCGAAGGCAGACGCTTAACCATCTGAGCCACCCAGGCACCCCTATTTTGTCTAAATTTTAAAAATTACTCAGCATCAGGGCACCTGGGTGGCTCAGTCGTTAAGCGTCTGCCTTCGGCTCAGGTCATGATCCCAGGGCCCTGGGATCGAGCCCCGCATCGGGCTCCCTGCTCGGCGGGAAGCCTGCTTCTCCCTCTCCCACTCCCCCTGCTTGTGTTCCCTCTCTCGCTGTGTCTCTCTCTGCCAAATAAATAAGTAATCTTTTAAAAAAAAAAAATTACTCAGCATCGTCTACCTTTTAATTTTTTATAATTATAATTTATGTACCTTTTTACATTCTTGATATATTTTTGCCTTTTTTCTTTCTTTCTTTCTTTTTTTTGATTGAAGAAGGCAAGCAATTAGTCATTAGAATTAGTTGGAAAGACCTGGGGGCACCATACTTAAAAGTTCCAAATCAAGCATTAGCTTTGGAGCTAGATTAATTGAACACCATGGTAGTTCCTGGACCTACCGTGTGACCTTGGGCAAATAACAACAGTACCTTGTAGGCCTGTTGGGAGGATTAAGATATGTAGAATGAGTTTACCAATTTCGGCACATCATCAACATGCAGTAAATGTCAGTGTTGCAGAATGCCACGTGACCTGCAGTATATTTACAGGAATATCCCATCCTGGTGTCACATAGGGCTGTCAGACATCTGAGGTCCTGATGGAGGAAGATTTCTCACTCAGGTCAAGGCATCTGAGAATGCCATACAGACTGCTCACCAGCCACTAATTTTCTCTCTTCAGGATGCCCTACTTTCAAGTCATCCTGGGGCTTCCTCTGTCCAAAGCCCATGGCCGTCCCCTCCACACATTTCTGGAGCTTGGCCAGGGTACTCCCGCCAGAGCAGAGGCTGCAGGGAAAAGGATAGCCTGAAGCTGATGCCTTTTCTCTTTTTTTAAAAAGTAAACATACATTTACCCTGTGCACCAGCAATTCTATTTATAGGTATTTTTCAAGAAAAATCAAAACATAGATTCACAAATTGCCTTGTACAAGAATGTTCATAGCAAGTTCACTACCAATAGACCAAGTGTCCATCACCAGGATATTAGATAAGGAAATTGCCATGTGGTGTATTCTTCAAATAAAATGGAACAAACCACTGTACTACCAGTGAATGATCTCAAAGCATTATGCTGAGTGAATAAACCAGACACAAAAAACTATAAACTATATGATTCCATCTATATCAAGTTCTAAAATGGGCAAAACTAATCTATGATGATAGAAATCAGATCATTGGTTGCTTCTCATGGGGATATTGACTGGGAAGGGGCCTGAGGGCATTTGACAAAACTGACTTAACTGTGTATACTTAAGATCTGTGCATTTACTGTGCATACATTAAATCTCAAAAACTTTGGCCAAAAAAAGAAATCTCACCAGAGATTCACTGGGTTTTATTATTCTTGTAAAACCCAACTTTTCACATCATTAATATTATTTTATCTTTGTTTATTATTTTATTACATTGGGTCCTTGCCTTTATTAATTTCACCCTTCTACTTTTTGTGCTTATTCTCTTGTTCTTTTTCTGGCTTCTTAAATTAGATGCTAAACTCATTAATTTTCATCCTTTCTTCTTTTTTTACTCTTAAGTGTCTAAGGATAAATTTCTCACTTTGATTATATTCTCCAAGGTTTTCCTAAGTTGTTAAATGTATCATATATTAAAAACAATAAATATAATGTACTGTTTAAAAACAATTGAATGAATAACCATATATCTATCATCTAGGATGAGAAGAACATTAGTAGTCCCCTGGGCAAGCTCAAGCACATTCCCCTTTCTGTCTCCTACCATCTTTTGTTTTAATCATTTTTGTTGTTTTTCTTCATAATTTTACCATCAGTGTGTCTATTCTTAAATAATATATTGCCCGTTCTTAAAAAACTGGAGAATAAGCTCCAGTGTAGCCATCCAAGGAGAGAAAAGTATTCCCATTATTAGATAAATTGGCCCGAGAGGATGTAAGTTGAGAACTTCTAGGTCATAGTCTTGCTTTGGTTATCCGAAAGCTTACAAGGGCTTTTTCTGGTGAAGTCTGTGGGCAAGGTCCTCAACAAGCTGTGAGAAATGCAGGGTACCGTTGGGGCATCTGGGAGAGCTCTAGTGTGGACTCAGTAGTAGGCATCTGATAGAAATGTCGTCAGAACAGGCTGCCCTGTGCTTCTGCCTCTAACCACAGCTATATGGCACTCTCAGCAAGAGGCCAAGACAGAGCCCTTCTGACAGTTTGTTTAGATTTACATGCATGTTCACCTTTCCCTCTTACATCTTAGATGGCCCTCCGGGGATCAGCTTTCTTCAACCTGAAGAAAACCCTTTAGATGAAGGTCTGTGGCTGATAAAATTTTCTATTTTTCTTTAGTCAAAATATCTTTATTTCATTCTCAATTCTTGATGATGGCTATGCCAAGGAAACTATCCTAGATTCTTTTCAATCATCATCTTTAGTATATCATTCCCGTTTCTTCTGACTTTCAGTGTTGCAGATTAAAACCAAACAAACGAGGGGCTTCTGGGTGGCTCAGTCAGTTAAGCATCTCCCTTCGGCTCAAGTCATGATCCCAGAGTCCTGGGATCCAGCCTGGCATCACGCTCCCTACTCAGTGGGGAATCTGCTTCTCCCTCTGCCCCTCCCCCTGCTTGTGCTTGTGCTCATGGGCTCTCCCGCCCCGCTCACTCTCAAATAAATAAAAAAAATCTTTAAAACAAAATAAAAACAAACAAAAATATTAATTATCATTCCTTATGGGAAATCTCTTTGCTTTGACTACTTTAAGATTTCTTTTCCTTTGGGGAGGGCGCCTGGGTGGCATCCAACTCTTGATTTCGAAAAGCTCAGGTCATGACCTCAGAGTCCTGAGATGTAGCCCCATCGTGGGCTCAGTGCTCAATGTGGAGTCTGCTTAAGATTCTCTCTCTCCCTCTGCCCCTTCCCCCACCACTTGCGCATATATGTGCTCTCTCTAAAAACCGAATAAATAAATAAATAATAATTTTTTTTTAAGTTTTCTTTTCCTTTGGTATTTTTCAGTTTTATTGTGTCTAAGAGTAGATTTATTTTTACATACAGTCGTTATGATACCTTCCCCCTCTCGAATCTGCATTCATGTCTTCATCAGTTCTAGGAAATTCTCAGACACTGGTGTAGATACGTCTCTCCTACATTCTGTTCACTCCTTCAGCAACTTCAGGTAGATGTGTGTTAGACCTTTTTCTGTTTCCAGCAAGCTAACTTTCGTGTTTACATTTGCCTTGTCTCTCTGTCATATTCTAGGGGACTTGGGTATGTCTGTCTTCCAGGAAGCCAGTTTCCCTTTGGTTATCTAATCTGCTTCTTCAGCCATCCACTGAGAGATTGACTTCAGAAGTTGTTTTTTCTTTCTTTCTGGTTCCTTTCAAATCAGCATAGTTCTTTTCTTCTTCTTTTTTTTTTTTTTGGTTGTAAAAAAGTCTTTTTACTATTACTGAATACTGATATTCCAAGAACAATTGAAAATATACAAGTACTGCAAATTATCCCTATGCTACAAGATTTTTAGGAAGAAAGAGAAAAGATTATAAATTTTATATCCCCAACTATGGCCATTCCTCCCTTATTTAGGTTGTGACTCTCTTAGTGTATTGTGAAAAATTCTTGTGAGACCACAGCATAGTTCTTTTCAATTGAATTTTCAATTCATCTTTGTGGTTCTGTTCCTTATCCCTTTAAACATCTCATGATAGCTATTTTGTATCTAGTCATTCCCTTACCTGAAGTCCTGGAAGATCTAAATTTGGTATATGTTGTTCCTGCTGACTCTCACGTACAATGACCTACCTTGTGTGCTTGACGACCTTTGGTTGTGAGCTCACATTTATTTACTTGATGTTATTTTTTGGAAATCATGCCAGCCCAAATTTGAGGGAAATTTCCTCCAGAACTTGTTTGAATGTGCTTTTGCCAAAAGATAAGTGGTCCTAATGACCTGGGACTCTTGTATCCCCTATGGGAATCCTGGATTAATGTGAGAATCGCTGGCTCATTATCCCCACTTTTTGCTGCAGGACCTCAGGGCAACATCTCCTTTTATATGTATACTGTACCACTTACCTTATCACTACTCTCAGCTCTAGTTTCAGTTCTGGGGTATCTTTTTTCAAGAGAGAAAAAGTCCTTAAGACCTCTCTTACATTATGTAATGTCAACCTTTCATAAAATATATCTGTATCCAGGATCTAGTTGTTTTCTAACAAGAAATGTACTCTGTCATTTTGCCAGAAACAAAACCCACATCCATTCGTCAAAGTCGCCATTATTAAATATATATACCCATTGAACCATTATTCTACTACATGCCAAGTTGTGTGTTTATTTATACATAAATAAGATGTACCCTGTCTTCAAGGACATAAATAGGTAGTTTCAATATAATATGACAAGTAATAAGAGAGAGATAAACCTAAAGTTTTTTTCTTTCCCCATATGTATTGTGATGGGGAGCAAAAGGGGAAATGATATTCTAAAGTTAAATGGTTAAGGGTAATCATATTTGAATAAGGCCCTGGATACCAACTTATATAGGAATTTTAAACATAATGGTGATAATGATACCATTTATGATGTGCTATTTACACCTAGTAATTCAGACCTAAGCAGTGTGGTTCCAGTGTGGGCCTATGCATTACTGTGCAACAGACACTTTCTTGAGTCATGTGAATTCATTTGAAAAATTGAGATGCTGTTTCTTATAAGAAGGAACCAGAGAAGATCAGTCTCCTTTAAGTTAACTTTTTAAATATATATATAAAATGAAAGACACCAAGAGTTTAAATTAGAAAAAACAACTGACAGTCATAAGGTCACCTACTTTGACATATCATACTTTTGTTGCAGGATGGGGAAATGGTGCTGCTGGATGGAGGTTGTGAGTCTTCTTGCTATGTGAGTGACATAACCCGTACCTGGCCTGTCAATGGCAGGTAGGACTTTTACAGATCCCATTGCTTCTTAGGAGTATGAGTTGGAATATGGGTATATTAGGAATAAATGACTGAAAAATATACAGGTCCCCTCTAGCTCAGGTTAATTGCCTTTGCAAAACTCCTGATTACTTTCTAAGACTGTTTTATTCACCAAATCATAGGATCAGTCTTCTAGACACACCTAGTTAACACACACACATTCACATTTAAAAAAGTAAATTTGAGGGGTGCCTGGCTGGCTCAGTCAGTGGAGCATGTGACTCTTGATCTCGAGCTTGGGGTTCAGGCCCCATGTTAGGTGTAGAGATTACTTAAAAATAAAATCTTTAAAAATAAATAAATAAAATAATTTGGAGTTTTTATTTTCTGATTACAAAAGTAATCCAGTTTTCAGTTAAAAAAAAATCACTAGACATGGAAGAATCAGGAAAAGAATCAGAAAATGACCCATAATCAAGAAAAATAGTCAATAAAAGCAGATCCTGAATAACCCTAAGATTTCAGTTAGTAGACAAGGACTTTAAAGCAGCTATTATAGATATGTTCACAGAGTTAAAGGAACATATATAAGTACAATGAGTGAACCAATGGAGAGTCTCAGTAAGAAATAACCAGAGATTCTGGGGAGATGGTAGCAAAAGCATAGTTTTTTGCTCTCTCCAAATTGGCAAATAATAATAGAGCTACTAAGTAACAAAACCAAACACTGGGTGATAGGATATCACTTAAACTGTAAAATGCAAACAGTTATGAATATACTGCACAACTACAAGGCCTGGATGGTATCAGTATCTGTGTGGAAGAAAGAAGGAGGCAACGGTAGTAGAGGAAGCTATCTGACGTACCTGCGAACAAAGGAACTCACAGATAACCAACAGATATTCACTGGAAAGAATGGTGAGCCAATTTGAAAACAGAAACTGAAAATGGGAAAGATTTGTCACTCTAGAGGCCTGAGGAAGTTTGAGGGTGCTATGCTCCCTTCTAAGAAGAAACTGCTGGAAGTAGAATCGAAAGTAAGCAAGTTAAGGACAAGAGAGAAGAAGGAATTGAAATACCCAAATCAGAGAGGGGGAGAGGAATTGAAAGCAAGCTGCCATATTGTTTACCACTACACCAAAACAATAGGAGAGTAAGCTCTGTGATGTTAAAAAATCTTTACTAAAGCCTGCCTCATTCTAAAAGTTTAGGAAAATTAATTTTACATAAAATAAGCAACAAAAAAGTGTCTTGGTTAATCTCATACAAAGTTAATCAAAAGCAAAAAAAGGAATTAAGGAGCATATAACATCAACATCCCTACTGATAATGGAAACATACTGGAAAGACATGGCTACAAAAGAGATCAAAACAGTGACCTACTATGTTAAAGCAAGCTAGAATTTTTTAAGCACATCATTCAAGACATGAAAGAACAACACAAATCAAAACTGGAAATTTCAGAAACAAGGTGACAATACTCAGGAAAGAACTAGAAATAAAATAAAAAATCATACCAGAAAAAAGACTGGGTTGAAAGGTACACACTAACAATGAAGCACAATAAAGCCTTAACAACAAATAGGAAGGATGAAAGGGAAGAAAAATTTAAAAATCAAAATGAAATAAAGAGAAAAAAGATTACAGGGAAAATGACAAATATTTAAAATAAGCAAAGAAGTTAGAGCATACACATAAAGGAAGCTCTGAAGAAGAAAACGAAAGCATGGAAACAGAACATATCCTAAAAACTATAATTCAATAAAATTTTCCTGAAATGAAAAAAATTTTGAAACTACTTTTGAAAGAGCACATCATGTACCTGAGAATATCAGCCCAGAAAAAGCAACACCAAGACATATTCTAGTAAAATTCTGAACCTACAAGAAAAATTCCTTTGGGATCCAGAAAAAAAGAACATGTGATTTATAAAGGAAAGGAAATCAGATTATCAGACTTTCAAAAGCAATGCTTTATACAAGTAGAAAATAGAGTAACATATTAGAGATACTCAAAGAACAAAAGTGTAAGCCAAAGACTTTATATGCAGCAAAAGCAACTTTCAGCTGTAAAGGGCACAGATTGTTATGTAGAAACTTAAGGCTTCCTCCCATGAGGAATCTGCTAGAGCTAGAGCTATGTGATCCAGTATGACACCTAGTCACCAGTCCCATAGGACTACTTACATTTAAATTAATATCAAATCAAATTTACACTAGTTTTTTACTTGAACTGGCCACATTTAGCACATGTTGCTAGTGGGTACCATATTGGACAACAGATACACAGGAAAACACATCAGCACAGGAAGGTTTATTGGTCAGTACTGCGCTAGAGCATGAGCTTCAGTTGACCAAAGTGACTAGAGACACTGACATAAGGATTGCTGGTGAACATGAGAAACAGTTCACTGTAGAACTAAGACTAAGTGAATCTAAGAGGAAGAGAGCGTTGTAGTAATAGCTGTATGCTCTGATCATGTAGAGTAGTACAACATTTTTTTAAATGGAGAATGGGAGGAGCATATGAAAAAAAAAAACCCTCAGTATTTCCAGCAGTTATATTTGTTATAATATCTGTATTGTTATTCTGAAATTAAGAGGGGCACCTGGCTGGCTCAGTCAGAAGAGCATACAACTCGTGATCTCAGAGTCATGAGTTCAAGCCCATGCTGGGTGTTGAGATTACTTAAATAAACAAGCAATGAAAATAAATAAATAAATACAAACAAAAGAGTAAGAGATAATTTTAATTCTTCTTCCTTGTGCCCTTGAAAACCAGGATGCATGGTATGGAAGGAAAAAAGTAAATGAAATATAGAGGTTACATAAAAGCTCTATCATCTCAAATTTTAATTGAAGTATCAGTGTGAACTCAAATGATTTTTTTTCTTTTTTTTTTTTTAAGATTTTATTTATTTGACAGAGAGAGACGCAGCGAGAGAGGGAACACAAGCAGGGGGAGTGGGAGAGGGAGAAGCAGGCTTCCCGCGGAGCAGGGAGCCCGACGCGGGGCTCGATCCCAGGACCCTGGGATCATGACCTGAGCCGAAGGCAGACGCTCAACGACTGAGCCACCCAGGCGCCCCGATTTTTTTTTCTTTATATGATTTTTCCCCTTCCCTTTTCTGTCCACCGAGAAGGCTAGAAACTATGACCAACTTAGTAGCAATGAGTATCACCAGTGCCCTGATTATGATCTTGAAATACAATTTTTCCCTAAAATAAATGAGAGCTTCTTGGAGAGTTGGCTGACTCCAGGTCTGGATCAGGAAATTTATAAGATGAAGCCTGGAACATCTTAGAATACCAGATAGCAGGGGCGGCTGGGTGGCTCAGTCATTGGGCATCTGCCTTCAGCTCGGGTCGTGATTCCAGGGTCCTGGGATCGAGCCCCGCATCGGGCTCCCTGCTCCGCGGGAAGCCTGCTTCTCCCTCTCCCACTCCCCCTGCTTGTGTTCCCTCTCTCACTGTGTCTCTCTCTGTCAAACAAATAAAATCTTTAAAAAAAAAAAAAAGAATACCAGGTAGCAAGGAAATGAGCAAAAACCAGTAGCGTCCTGTCAAAAAGACTCAGGAACCAACTTGAAGAGGTCCCACAGATCAAAGATAGGAAACTTTGAGCTTTGATAATGGTAATAACTTAAATCCATCAAATAAACTCAAATTCATGAATTCATAATGTAACTTTCTTATAATAGTAATTTTAAAAAAATTGTTCATCTTCAGAGGATGATGGGAATCAATTCATTATTTTGAAAAGTGGTAAATAGGGGTGCCTGGATGGCTCAGTCGGTTGGGCATCTGCCTTCAGCTCAGGTCATGATCCCAGGGTCCCAAGATCGAGTCCCACATCAGGCTCCTTCCTTGCTCAGTGGGGAGCCTGCTTCTCCCTCTGCCTGCCGCTCCCCCTGAGCTTTCTCTCTGACAAATGGATGAATAAAATCTTAAAAAAAAATGTTTTTTTTAAAGTGGTAAATAAAAGAATCAAGTATTCGTCCTACCTTTTATGTATAAACTCTGTCACTAGATAACCAAATAGATTAGAGGAAATATCTCTTTAAAAATATTCCATGAAATGAATGAAAAGGAAATTATAGAATTAAAATTATTACCATTTTGCAACACCCATTAATGTATAGATGTAAGCACTTAAGGATCCGTGGCTGCTAAGATCACAAAAAGAGGCAATCAGATATTATGTGCCTCCTATAATTTTGCCAAGTACTACATATAGCCAGCCTTGCCAAAGGGATTGAACCTGAGTCCGACTCATTCTTGGGATCCAGCTGCCAATTTGTGAGAAATAAGAAAGACAATGGAATATGTTGAACTACACCAAGGGGGTGTGTATTCGTCAGCTCAGGTTGCCATAACAAAATACAACAGACTGGGTGTTTTAAACAACAGTTCTGAAGGCTGGGAAGTTCAAGATCAGGGTGCTGGCAAGGTAGGTTTCCTCCTGGCGCCCCTTCTCTTGGCCTGTAAGCAGCTGCCATCTTGCTGTGTGCTCACATGACCTCTTCTACACGAAGAGACAGAGGGAGAGAAAGCAAGCTCTGTGGTGCCTTATAAGGACACTAATTCTATCAGAGCAGGGCCCCACCCTTATGATCTCATATAACCTTAGTTACTTCCTTTAGAGGCCTCATCTCTAAATACAGCCACACTAGTGGTTAGGACTTCAACATATGAATTTTGGGGAGACACAGACTTCCATTCCGTAATGCAATTAGCAAAATCTAGACTGTGATAAACCCTGTTTGTCAAACAGTCTGGATTCTTTAATACATACAAGGAAATGAAAAAGGATAGAAAAAGGAACCTGTCGACTAAAAGAGACTTAAAAGGCATATCAAATTTGTTTAAAATAAGCAGGAAGAAAATTGTCCTGGGATGCATATTTGGGTTATAAAGCATTTTTTTATACAAGAAATGGGGAGTGACTGCTAATGGATATGGGAGTGAGGAGGGTTGCATGAAAATATTCTGGAATTAGATAGTGATGATGGTTGCATAAGCATATTTGTGAAAATATAAAACCATTGAACTGTACACTTTTTAAAATGGGTGAATTTTATGATATACAAATTATATCAATAAAAATGAGAAACAAGTACATAGAAATAAAAAATCACAAGGTGGGGCACCTGGTTGGCTCAGTCAGAAGAGCATCCAATTCTTATCTCGGGGTCATGAGTTCAAGCCCCACATTGGTTGTAGAGATTACTTAAAAATAAGATCTTTTATTATTTTTTTTTAAACATTGATTACTGGACATAGGTTTGTGCTTTTTTAAAAAAGATTTTTATTTATTTATTTGACAGAGAGAGACACAGTGAGAGAGGGAACACAAGCAGGGGGAGTGGGAGAGGGAGAAGCAGGAGAGGGAGAAGCAGGCTTCCCGCAGAGCAGGGAGCCCGATGCGGGGCTCGAACCCAGGACCCTGGAATCATGACCTGAGCCGAAGGCAGATGCTCAACGACTGAGCCACCCAGGCGCCCCAAGATCTTTTAAAAATAAATAAGTAAATATAAAAAACCACAAGGAAATGATAGCTGTGAAAGTTAGGATAATGGTACATACTGAGAGAATTGTAATAGTTATGAAGCACATAGAAGGGACTTCTGTGATAATTGGCCAAGTTCCATCTTTTATCTGACTAGTCAACCTTACACTAATTTCTTAAGGTATATATTTGTGTGGCTTTCTGTATCTGTAAAGTTGAAAAGTATAATAACTGAAATGGAGAATTCACTAGATGGACCTTACAGCAGATTGGAGGCAGAAGGCAAGTGAACTAGAAGAAAAATAGAAATTATCTAGTCTGGGGGCACCTGGGTGGCTCGGTCGTTGAGTGTCTGCCTTCAGCTCCGGTCATGATCCCAGGGTCCTGGGATCGAGTCCCACATCAGGCTCCCGCTCCGTGGGAAGCCTGCTTCTCTCTCTCCCACTCCTCCTGCTTGTGTTCCCTCTCTCGCTGTGTCTCTCTCTGTCAAATAAATAAATAAAATCTTAAAAAAAAAAAAGAAATTATGTCTGAAGAACAGAAATATATTGTAGAAGAATGAAGAGAACCTCAGAGACTTCTGAGACATTTTCAAGCAAATTAACATACATCTAATTGGAGACTCAGAAATTGAACAGAGAACAGAGCAGAAAAAACCTTTGAAGAAATAATGGCCCAAAACTTCCCAAGTGTGGTGAAAGACATCAACTTTAGATGTGAATGACATTGGTTTTTTTTTTTTTTTAAAGATTTTATTTATTTGACACAGAGAGACACAGCGAGAGCGGGAACACAAGCAGGGGGAGTGGGAGAGCGAGAAGCAGGCTTCCCGCTGAGCAGGGAGTCCGATGCGGGGCTCGATCCCAGGATCCTGGGATCATGACCTGAGCCGAAGGCAGACGCTTAACGACAGAGCCACCCAGGCGCCCCTGTGAATGACATTATTAACCACCTTAATTACATTGACATTTGTAGAACACTATTCCCAACAACTGCAGAACACATACTCTTTTCAAATACTTATGGAACATCACCAAAACCATTTGCTGGACCATAAAATGAGTCTTAATGAGTTTCAGAAGACTGAAGTCTTATAAAATGTGTTCTCTGACTACAATGGAATTAAATTAGAATGTCATAATAATACGATATTTTTAAATCTCCAAATATTTGGAAATTAGTGAATATATTTTATTTTATTTATTTATTTTTAAAGATTTTATTTATTTATTTGAGAGAGAGAGAATGAGAGAGAGCACATGAGAGGGGGGAGGGTCAGAGGGAGAAGCAGACTCCCCGCTGAGCAGGGAGCCCTATGCGGGACTCCACCCAGGGACTCCAGGATCATGACCTGAGCCGAAGGCAGTCGCTTTAACCAACTGAGCCACCCAGGCACCCAAGTGAATATATTTTAAATAACCAGTGGGTCAAAGAAGAAACCACAAGGGAAAGGGAAGAAACCACAAAGTACTTCAAATCAGTGATAATAAAAATACTATATATCAAAATGTGTCACATAGAACTACAGCAGAAATTTATATGTAGCTTTAAATGCTTACATTAAAAGAAAGGTTTGAAATCAATAATGTAAACTTCCACCTTAGAAAGCTATTAAAAAGATGAGCAAATTGGGCGCCTGGGTGGCTCAGTTGGTTAAGCGACTGCTTTCGGCTCAGGTCACGATCCTGGAGTCCCTGGATCGAGTCCCGCATCGGGCTCCCTGCTCGGCGGGGAGCCTGCTTCTCCCTCTGACCCTCCCCCCTCTCATGTGCTCTCTCTCTCTCATTCTCTCTGTCTCAAATAAATAAATAAAATCTTTAAAAAAAAAAAAAAAAAAGATGAGCAAATTAAAACCAGAGTAAGCAGGAGGAAAGAAACAAGATAAGACCAAAATATCAATGAAATAGGAAAAAGATAGTGAGTAGAGAAAATTAACAAAGCCAAATGGTTGTTCCCTAAATAGATTAATAAAATTGATAAACTCCCTTGCAAGATAAAAAAAAGAGAAGACAAATTACCATAATCAGGAATGAAAGAGGGTATATCACTATAAGTCTTACAGAGATCAAAAGGATAATAAGGTAGGGGTGCCTGGGTGGCTCAGTTGGTTAAGCATCCAACTCTTGATCTCAGCTCAGGTCTTGATCTCAGGGTTGTGAGTTCAAGCTCCATCTTGGACTCCACGCTAGGCTTGGAACCTACTTAAAAAATAAATAAAGGATAATGTAATGTGAACAACTATGGGTAGTCCTTATTGTTAGTCACAGAGCAAATGCAAATTAAGCCTCTGCATATGCACTAGAATGGCTAAACTTAGAAAGACTAAGCATATCAAGTGTTGACAATGATGCAGTGCAACTGGAACTCTCAGACATTGCTCGTGGTGACATAAAATGCTACAGTACTTTGGGAAAAAATTTGCTAGTTTCTTATTAGAAACAAACACTGATTCCTTGGCCTAACAAACCCACTTCTGGGTATTGATCAAAGAGAAATGAAAATGTGTCCACAAAAACACTTGTACAAGAATACTCAGAACAGCTTTATTCATAGTAGCCCAAAATTGGAAACAACCTAAATGTCCATCAACAGGAGACTGAATACACAAGTTGTGGTTTATTCATACAGTAGAATATCACTTAGCAATAAAAAGCAACAAACTACTGATTGAACCAACACCATGATGGATCATACAGACATAGTACTCGGTGAAGAAAGCTTAACACAAAAGAGTATATATTGTATGATTCCATTTATACATATGATTCCATTTATATGATAGAAAACTAAGGTGAAAATAATCAGAACTCCTCTCATGCTGTCTCTCAATTCTCTCTCTCTCAAATCTTTTTTTTTTTTTAAGATTTTATTTATTTGATAGAGAGAGACACAGCGAGAGAGGGAACACAAGCAGGGGGAGTGGGAGAGGGAGAAGCAGGCTTCCTGCCGAGCAGGGAGCCCAATGCGGGGCTCGATCCCAGGACTCTGGGATCATGACCTGAGCTGAAGGCAGACGCTTAACGACTGAGCCACCCAGGTGCCCCTCGAATAAATCTTTTAAAAAAATAAAAATATAAAATAATCAGAACAGCCTTTGCCTCTGGGTGTGGGAATACTGATTAGAATAACAGTGAGGAAACTTTCTGTGTCATGATGGGAATATGGATCTGGATCAGTCAGAGTTCTCCAGAGAAACAGAACCATTAGGATATATTATGTATGTGGGTATATGTGTAGGTAGGTTGGTTGATTGCTTTTTAAGGAATTGCGAATGCAGTTGGGACTGGCATGTCTGCATTTTGTGAGGTAGGCCAGCAGGCTAGAAACTCAAGCAAAAAATAGATGTTGCAGATGTGGGAATTCCTTCTCTAGTATAGCAAGACAGTTCTGGCATTTGAATTCATTTAGTGTAGGCTACCTTTTAATGTGTGTTTCAGCCAACCAACCAAATAGACTGTTAGAGCCTTATTTGACCCTGGAGCTGCAACACTGAATCCAGAATCTCTGCTTAATGGACTTATATCAATACATTCAGCCTTATCCAACTTTATGTTCCTTCCATCATTATCCTGCAGTGTTCATATACATTCCCACACATATTCCTAGATTTTTGTCTGTGTAAATAGGAAAAATCACATCGGTTTTTGTTTTGTTTTGTTTTGTTTGTTTGGATTATAGTGCACCTCCTGGTGGGTCACACTTTATACCTAACCTTTTAGGGCCTGCTGAGAGTAGAATCTGATCATAGGTCTAGAACCATCTGCTAAGGCAGCTACCTCATGGGAGGTTCCTGTAGGTTCTCAGTCAAAATAGAGTGAATCTCCTTAGCTGGGGGGTAGAAGGGCTGCTTCGACTGGCAAAGACGCAACCAAATTTAGGGCTCAATGTTCCCAGCTTTATTGAGATCAGTACATCCATTTGTCAAAATTGTAAAGCTCAGATTTCTGTACTTCAGTATATATAAAATTTACATGAAAAAAAAACTTAACTCTTTAGTAATACTGTGGTGGGTTGGAATATAGGTACATTTATAGATGACACAAATATAACAGTGTTGCTAATGGCTGAACCTGGAGATGGATATGAAGGTGTTCATTATTCAATTATATTGTTATTTTAACCATTCTTATTAGGGGACATTTAGAGTGTGTCATAATTATAAAAAAAAAACTGAATGTTTTTATATATTCAGCTTTTTTTTATTTCAAGTATTTTCTTAGGATGGAATCTTAGAGCAGAATTATAAGCTCAAATTTTATGAGTATCATTATTAAGGCCCTTCATTTAATTGGCTATACTAATTTGCACGGCCATCAACAGTGTAGAAAATCCATATCATATACTATGCCAGCTTAATATTTTCTCATTTTTCCCCATGACTGCTAAAGAAATTATTATTCTAAGGACACCTAGAAACTACATGTTACTAGTAGCCAAAGTATCTACTAGTTTATCTCATGACATCTGCTTTACCTACAGGAAGTGGATGCCTTTGTTTTGGTTTGTTGTTTGTTTGTTTATGGTAAAAAAAAAAAAAATGGAATGGACCAAGGGTGAGCTTGATCTGGCCCTCCCATTGCACTCATGGCTGGGTTGAGTGTGTCTGCTAGCCTCACCTTATGTATAGCTGCTGATCATTTGAGAGATAGACTATTGCTGCCCCAGCTTGAAGAGTTACTGCTCTTCTTGTTGAGTGTTGAGGGCACAGTTAAGGTCCTGTCAGTACTGATATACTGGTACTGATGTAGTAATCAACAGTGCCCCATCATCAGCACCTTGGAGTTTTCCTAATCAAATTTAGAAGCAAACTTCCTGCAATATCAGATTATTCCAGATGTGAGTTATTTGGTTTTCCTGTCCCCAGGTTCACAGCACCTCAGGCAGAACTCTATGAAGCTGTTCTAGAGATACAGAGAGACTGTCTGACCCTCTGCTCCCCTGGGACAAGCTTGGAGAACATCTACAGCTTGATGCTCACACTGATCGCACAGAAGCTAAAGGAGTTGGGGATCGTGAAGAACATTAAGGGAAATAATGCCTTCAAGGTACTGCCCCTCTTTTGACCCCGGCTCTCAAAAACACCTGATGTGCTGCTGGGTTTTTATCCTGTGGAAAACTAATTAGATTTAGAAATGGTCTTTGTGATCTTCATCTATAAGAGGGATATAGAGTGAACATGGATTAAAACAAAAGGAGTCAGTACTTACTTCTCCCAGAAGATGGCAGCACATTCTAGTTCGTTGCATCCTGTATGAGTAGCTCAATCTGCAGAAAATGAAGTCTGGTGCCGACAGGGTGGAAATGGACACAAAAAAAGGAGAAGAGGTTAACTCTCAATCCCTTTGTGGCGATTTTGAAAAGATAGAAGTCGTGGGGGAGGGTGTTTGTTGCTTCAGTGACATTGGTGAGATGAACAGTATCCCCAAGGGCCATGTCTTTAGTGAATTTCATCTGCATCCAAAATGTAATGATGTTCAGTTAGAATGTAAAACCTTACCTTTAAATTAAGATGCCAGGTGGCCTCACCAAACAGACCATTAAGGCATCTCATCTCCAAGTTTAGGCTGCCAGGTTTTCTTTTATCAGTAGGAAAGACATTATAAATTCCTCCTGCTGAAGCCAACAAATCTAATTAACGGATAGGAATATCAACCCGGTAAATGCCTAATAATTACTGTGTTAATTTGATGTTCTGTGCCTACTCCACAAGTTGCCATGAGTTCCTCAGGGTCTCCAGAGCCGGCTTTCTGACAAGGACTTATGAACACTGAAAAGAGAACTGTTCTAACATAATCATCCTCCCTCCCCCAAGAAAAGAGGTTTTCATTTGCCGTAGACATTACTGGGGTTACCCAAGTCAGCATGTGTGTAGTATATTAAGTAATGGGAAAGGAAATGTGGATTAGTTCAAAGGCCATCAGTAGAATTGCATTCAAGAGGTAGCAGTTTATCAAGTCTCTTGAGCATTAGCCCGAGGGTAGGTTAAACCGCAAAATGGCAGAAACGTGCGGGAAGTATTAACACATATCTCACTGACTTACTCATGTTTAGCTTTCCCCTTAAGGCGTCATTGCGCTAATAACACTGTGGTGATTACCTTTTCCAGGCTGCTCGAAAATACTGCCCTCATCATGTTGGCCATTACCTCGGGATGGATGTCCATGACACTCCAGACATGCCCCGTTCCCTCCCTCTACAGCCTGGTATGGTAATCACGGTGGAGCCAGGTAAGGGCAGGTGCTAGCAGCCTCTGATCCCTTGGGACACATAATAGTAGCAGATAGAAGGTAAATGTTGTTTATTTTTACCTGAACCAACATAGTTAAATTAGGAGAGACAGGAAAATGGATTTCTTCAGTGTAGATGGGAACTTTTAGATTTTTTTCTTGAGCTTTCTTATCTAACATCACACAATTTGTTTAATCTGACTTCTCCAATAAAAAACAGATGGGGAATACTTTTTATAAGTAGATATTAAGAAATAAATCTTTTTTTATACCCTGCCTTTGCCAGGGCCAATTTATACTAGTGTCCTGTGCAGTGGTGGGCTGCTCACACCTCTGAGGCCCAGGTGCTTCCCTGCAGAAAGCTACTCAAACTCACCATGTTTCACTCTGCAAACTGCACTGAACTGTCCACATTACTCTCCTTCGGATCTAAGTCCTTTTTCCTGAGCTTCAGAGAAAGGTGGTGATCTAATGGCTGCCCAGCTTGATGATGCTGGGCAGTGGGCAGAATTCAGCAGAGAAGTGGTGGTCACAGTGGAGTGTAAGGATTGATGTTAAAAGAATAATTTTTAAATACTCTGTTTTTGTTACGAAAATGGATTTCAGCTGTAGATTTCAAGTGTTTTCCTCTCTAAATTATAGAAATTATAGCTGGGACCTGACTTTGTTATACTACCCAGTCCTGCATTGCTATCTGTGGCCTTATGTACTATTCATTCCAATCTGGTTGGTGCATGGGTGCTTCCTTAGGCTTTGGCTACATATTCCTTCACTGATCTTTTTCTTTTTATCACAGGGTAGCATCTGTGAGTATAATGGAGGACGTTTCCAGTTTCTTAAATATGAAAAGACATGTTCTTGTCTGACTTTGTGATTAGAAAGGGTACCTTGGGCTCTTAGAATTTTCCAAATGTTCCTTAAAGTCTTCCTATTTCTTATTCTGCATCGTATGCATCAGTTACATTTATGGCTTCTTTGAGTATCTCTGCAGCTTGTTGTTCAGGCTAAGTGGGTTTTTTTCAATATATTTTAAAATGCTTTATATCCCTATTTTAGCAGTTCCCTTTTCCCAAGGGATGATTAGGCAGAGAAAGAATGCATTTATATAATCTACTGGTTCCCAGCATATGTTGACGTACTCATAAGTAACTTTAGTGGCCTGTTTAAACCACCAGAATATGACAGAATCATGATAGAGCCTGTAGTCTGGTATACAAAACAACTACAGCAATAGTTCTAGCAGCCAACATTTATTGACCATTATGTCACACACTTTTACGTATATGTACTATCCCATTTAATATCCACAGTTCTAGGTAGATACTCTCAGGATCACAGTTTTACAGATCAGTTGTAGCACAGAGAGGTTAGCTTGCTTGTCCCAAATCATCCAGTTACTGCCACTTAGGAACAGCACATTCTTTTTTCTACTTTTTAGGCATTTATATTCCAGAGGATGACAGAGATGCCCCAGAGAAGTTTCGTGGTCTTGGTGTACGAATTGAAGATGATGTAGTGGTGACTCAGGATTTACCCCTCATCCTTTCTGCAGATTGCCCCAAAGAGATGAATGACATCGAACAGATATGCAACAGGGCCTCTTGACCCTCTTTGCAGCCCACGTGCCTCTCAGGTTTAGAGGCGGTATACGTCTGCATCTGTGCATGTTTGCCGACTGAGCGTCTCTGCGTGTATGTTTCTACACATGTTCCATTTGGGAGTGTGGCAACTGTATAGAATGTATGAAATTGCGTATGTGATATTTAAGTAGCTAAAAATCTGGAAAATTGAATTTTTGAACAGTATGTTACTACAACTTTAGTAACATTAACTCTGTACAATTAATGACCAAGGCAGGTTTAATTTTTAAATGTACAGAAAAATCTTGATTATATGTGTCCATGCATTCCAGTTAACACAATGAAACATACAGAAAATATTCTCCTTCTCTCCAACTTTTTCCCTTTCTACACTTTTGCTGAGATCTACCTAATATCATAAGCTGTTCATGATGCTTATATTTTGAGCTAACCACCAATGTTTCTGCCTATACTAAAAGCCACCTGTCAGTGATTGTGGGTGGCCAATACATATATATCTTCCATAACTCCTATCCATCTCTTCCAGATCCTATATATCTACTGGAACCATATGAGCCCTTGTGGGCACTGGGGTCCTGCAATCCCACCATTCAGCTCCAATCCAGATTCTAGCAACACTAACTACTAAACAAAACAGTTTTTTTTTTTTTTATTCTTACGTTAATCCCCATACATTACATCATTAGTTTTAGATGAAGTGTTCCATGATTCATTGTTTGTGCATAACACCCAGTGCTCCATGCAGAATGTGTCCTCCTCAATACCCATCACCAGGCTAACCCATCCTCCCACCCCCCCTCCCCTCTAGAACCCTCAGTTTGTTTTTCAGAGTCCACAGTCTCTCATGGTTCGTCTACCCCTCCGATTTCCCCCACTTCATTCTTCCCCTCCCGCCTAAACAAAACAGTTTTGAGTTTTTCTTGCTATTTGGTTGCTTGTGGCCTGCAAAGTGTTTAGCACTTGATGAAGGAAGAAATGGAAGAGAAAGAAAAGCATATATGTATCTGCTACATATCTACACCTCTGTCCATCTGTTCTCAATCTGAAGAAGATTCCTTTTCCAGGTATCCATGCTTTCTTTGTAGATTCTTAGTGCACTGACCCACAGAGTACACCCTTGAAGCTGCTGCCCTGGCCAAGGGTAGATCCTCTCCTTACCCTGCTGACGTCAGAGGGACGGCACCCAGGTTTCAGAGAGATGCTCCTGTTATCATTCTACAGTGTGTCTAGTGCAATATATGGAACTCATCCAGTACCTGTAAACATCCTATGATCCTTTTATTTCTCTGATATTAGCACTGGAAGGGCAGTAGTAAGGAGTCATATTTCCCCTCAACACAGCATTGGCTGCATTCATACAAGAACTCACTTTGCAGAGTGAACGGGGCTAGATTATTGCAGATGGTTTATTCAGGAGCTTCTGTCATAGAACTACTGTGCTCGCCTCCTGTAAACCTGGATATGGGCCCAAGATGTACAAAACATGCTGCTTGTTAGAGCATAAATCCGAGGGGTTTTAAGAAAGAAACGAGCTAGGGGATTAACACTCCCTGCAGTGCTAGAGGTTTGCCCATCTTATCAGGAAAACCCAAGGTACAGAGCCAAAAGCAGACAAGCAGCAGCTTCATCAGGAGACAAAGATAATGGTATAGAGCAGAGTGATACACACGCTGTCCTGCCAGTACTCACCCTTGAGTGTTCTGGCTTTGCTCAGCAGCTGTGGGAATGGGTGGCCACACAGCTGGAGTCTTGTCCCTGGGCCTGTCCTCCCCACCTCCCTCCAACTTCTCAGTCCCATGCTACTTTCTAAAATAAGGAGACTGAAAATAAATACATAACTCTAGCTTCTCACCCTCTGGGCTCCTGTGGTCCCAACAACCCTTTCCTTGGATTGAGTGTCCTTAGTTCATCTACAATCCTGGAAAAGGATTTCCTTTTCTTCCTATAAATCATTTTCTGTGGTCTTCAACTTTCTAGCTAAAAGTCTAGGTGGCTTTTATGTATAGCAGCCACCTGGACACAAAACAGACTTCTGCTTAGATTCTCGTCAAGTTCTGCAGATAAGAGTCCTGCTTAGAATGGCTGTGGCAGAATTCTTCTAGTGACTTTTAATCCCCGAGCCAAGTACATTGTCCTTTGAGTCCCGGATTAACCTCAGTAGCTAAGCGTTGCCTCAGACTATCAGAACCATCAAGAGATGGATGGCATAGTGTTTCAGGGCTGTCTGACATATTCAGGATTTGTTGAGCAGATAGCGGTGCACAGGGCAGAAATCTCATTCGTTCTTAGCCATACCACAGACAAGCCCCGCATTTCCTCCATGTCTAAGTATAATACTTTATATATGCACCAGGCTCTCCTAATGGAAACCTTAATCTTCAGAAGTCCTTCAAATGTTACACTGGGATTTTTCTCCCTCAGGTGGAGAGAGATGGTTAGGTCATTAATGATGCCATGTAAATGAAGGAAGCATAGCTCGATAGCCTCTGCTGCTTACTTTTGTGTGTTTATCTCAGAAATTTGTGTTTTTCCTCATAATCAGGAAACAGACTATTGTGTTTTTTATTTGAAATGCAGTAGTAGCAATTGCTGGAGTAGAAACCCCTCTCTTCCCACAGCCATAATATCCAAGCCAGGAAGGTACTTCTCATGGTGAATGAAAGTTCTCTCTGGGTCTTCTTTCAAAACACCTTATTTTTTCACTATCTTTGTAAGGCCAGAAAGGGAAAACTCCTACCATAGACATTATATCTTAATTTGAGAATAAGATCCATAAAATAAGAAAATCCCATGAAGTTTAATCCCATGAAGTTTAAGAAAATCCCATGAAGACATTGTAACTCATTAAAATAGAAAAATTGGACTGTGTTATATTTTTCAAAGCTGACATAACCAACATCCTCTTTAGCTTTCTTAATAATAGAAAGATTACAGATCTGATGCAGGAGTGCAGCCTCCTCCTGTGTCTGTGTCAGAGATCACAAGGACAGCACAGGGACTGCCCTGCCAGGCCAGCTGTGACCTCAGAGTCCTTTGTAACACTGTGTTTCCATTAACTGCTACCAATAAGACAAAATCGGGATTTGAGTTAGACCCCGTCCGCCATCCCTCAGCTGGCATATGAGCAATAATAGAGCTCATTTGTGTGTGAATGTGTGTTAGAAACCACGTGAGGGCCCAGGATGGGGGCAGCATAAAGGACCCTGCTTGCAAGAGATTTTTATGGTGTGGTTAATTTTTTTAAATTTTAGTTTCCCGAGGTGGGATCTGTAACCTAAAACTTAACCTGATAGTATTAAGTTTTAATCCTGGGAAAATATAATTTAAGCCGAAGTGTTTAATGTTCCTAATATAATGAGAAGGTGATACATCATTAAATGCTAACATTTAATTAGAGCAGAAGCCCATTGTCACAAAGTACATGGGTCTTCCTGGCTGCTCTTCTTACTTCTGCCTGTGTGTCACTGAGGAACTTGGGGCTCAGATCCCCACTGAAATCAAGGCCTCCTGGGGTATGCTTCATGAGGATCTGAGAGAACTGCAATCTTTGTTAGCATTTATTAATGCTTTGTATGACTTTTGTGCAATTATATAAGTTCAGTTTGGACAAAATGCTGTTACTTTTTAAGGCTCTAGCCACTGAAAATAGGTATGTCATTCCCCAACAAGGGAAAAGCATTTATTACTATAATTTTAAAAATAAATAAACTATAAAACAATAGAAAAGTATGTGGTGTGTGTGTGTGTTATTTTCAAATCTAGACTTTATAGCTTTAAATGTGAGAACATTTTGTTCTACAAAATATTTTTTATAGAGGGGCGCCTGCCATGTGACCCTTGGTCTCGGGGTTGTGAATTTGAGCCCCATAGGGGTAGAGATTACTTCAATAAATAAATATTTAAAAATATGTATTTTATTTTTTTAAAGATTTATTTATTTATTTATTTATTTATTTATTTATTTATTTATTTATTTATTTATTTATTTATTTATATGAGAGACAGAGAGCATGAGAGGGAGGAGGGTCAGGGACTCCAGGAGCATGACCTGAGCCGAAGGCAGCCGCTTAACCAACTGAGCCACCTAGGCGCCCTTTAAAAATATGTATTTTAAAAATATATATTTTAGGAGCACCTGGGTGACTCGGTTAAGCGTCTGCCTTCGGCTCAGGTCATGATCCCAGGGTCCTGGGATCGGGCCAAGCATTGGGCTCCCTGCTCTGCGGGGAGACTGCTTCTCCCTCTCCCACTCCCCCTGCTTGTGTTCCCTCTCTCGCTGTGTCTCTCTGTCAAATAAATAATAAAATCTTTAAAAAAATAAAAAATTAAAAATATATATATATATTTTAGGCGCACCTGGATGATTCGGTTAAGCGTCTGCCTTGGGGTCAGCTCATAATCTAAGGTCCTGGGAATCGAGTCCTACATTGGGCTCTCTGCTCAGCGGGGAGTCTGCTTCTCCTTCTCACTCTCCATCTATGCTCTCCCTCTCTCTCTATCAAATAAATAAATGAAATCTTTAAAAAAATAAAATATATGTATATTTTATACAGAGTATTAACTGCTGTCACAAAATCATGATTCAAACTTAAGATGATCTTATCAGTCATAGAGGGGGAAAAAATGAATGAATTAGATCTGGCCCATTAAAAGATTGGCTCAGGGGCACCTGGGTGGCTCAGTCGTTAAGCATCTGCCTTCGGCTCAGGTCATGATCCCAGGGTCCTGGGATCGAGCCCCGCATCGGGCTCCCTGCTCAGCGAGAAGCCTGCTTCTCCCTCTCCCACTCCCCCTGCTTGTGTTCCCTCTCTCACTATGTCTCTGTCAAATAAATAAAATCTTTTAAAAAAATATAAATAGGGCGCCTGGGTGGCTCAGTTGGTTAAGCTACTGCCTTTGGCTCAGGTCACGATCCTGGAGTCCCGGGATCGAGTCCCGCATCGGGCTCCCTGCTCAGCAGGGAGTCTGCTTCTCCCTCTGACCCTCCCCCCTCTCATGCTCTCTCTATCTCATTCTCTCTCTCAAATAAATAAATAAATAAATAAAATCTTAAAAAAAAATAAAATAAAATAAAAATAAAAATAAAAAAATAAAAGATTGGCTCAAGGGTCTAATGTATAACATGGTGACTATAGTTGATAATACTCTGTTGTATGATAGAAATTTGCTAAGAGAGTAGAACTTAAATGTTCTCACCAAAAAAAAGCAGGGGGGAGATAAATATGTGAGTTGATAGAGGTGTTAATTAAATAGAAGGTGGGACACCCTTTCACAATGTATCTGTATATCAAATCATCATGATATACATTTTAAGTATCTTACATTTTGGTTAATTACACCTCAAGAAAGCTAGGGGGAGGGGCACCTGGATGGCTCAATCGGTTAACTGTCTACTTCGGTTAAGTGTCTGACTTCGGCTCAGGTCATGATCTGAGTCCTGGGATTGAGCCCCACATGGGGCTCCTGGCTGAGCGGGAAGTCTGCTTGTCCCTCTTCGTCTGCCCTTTCCTCCGCTCGTGTTCTCTCTCCTAAATAATAAATAAATAAAATAAATAAAATCTTTAAAAAAAGCAAGCAAGCAAGCTAGGGGGAGAAGGTTGACTCCACAAAACTGACCCACAGGTCTCCAGACAGCCCCTGTACCACTCAAGACTGTGAACTTCGGCCATGAACATTTTATGAAGGATGAATTTTGTAGGGAAGTAGGATCACTTTGCAAAATTACAAATTTGTGAACTTTCTCAGTGAGCCATATACACAGCCATGAGTGTTGGCCATTTCTTCCTAGTAGGAATCCTCGTTAAAATCAGGCTTTCTGGGGCACCTGGCTGGCTCAGTTGGTAGAGCATGTGACTCTTGATCTCAGGGTTATAAGTTCGAGCCCCATGTTGGGTGTTGAGATTACTTAAAAATTAAATCTTTTGTGGCACCTGGGTGGCGCAGTCATTAAGCTTCTGCCTTCGGCTCAGGTCATGATCACGGGGTCCTGGAATCGAGCCCCGCATCGGGCCCCCTGCTCCGTGGGAAGCCTGCTTCTCCCTCTCCCACTCCCCCTGCTTGTGTTCCCTCTCTCACTGTATCTCTCTCTGTCAAATAAATAAAATGTTTTAAAAAAAACTAAATCTTTTAAAAATTAAATAATAAAATTAAAATCTTTTTTTAAGATGTTATTTATTTGAGAGACAGAGCACAAGCAGAGGGGAGGGGCAGAGGGAGAAGGAGCAGCAGACTGCCCACTGAGCAGGGAGCCTGACACAGGGCTCCATCCCAGGACCCCGAGATCATGACCTGAGCTGAAGGCAGACACTTCAGCTGAGCCATCCAAGCGCCCCTAAAATTAAAATCTTTAAGTAAAATCTGAGGCTTTCTCTAAGGTGTGCCTTCCAACATTCTTCACATCCTGGCACACATAAAAAGATATTTTTTGTATGGCACAATGGAATAAATTTGAGAGGACTTAGGAATGTATACATAAGACTTAGAGAAAAAAATTCATTCCATATCCTTTATATAATTGTGATAAGAAAAATAACATGTACTAAGTTCTACAGAAACTTTTAAATTTGTATAACACTTCCAAGAAATGATTTTCAGAATGTCAAAAGACAGCCTACTTGTGGGAACATGACCTTTTTTTTCATAATAGGCTGAAACCCTATACACAATTCCTGATGCAGACTTTTCAGCGGTAACATCTTCACATTCTTCGTAATCACCCTCTGCAAGAAATTTATTTGTACAAATAGGTGACAAAAAACTTGAAACCATTTTTATAATCATTTAGAATTTTATGATTCAACTGATGAATGGATAAAAAAGATGTAATACATTCATATGTGAAATACTAGGCAGCCATAAAAAGGAATGGAGCACTGACACCTGCTGCAACATAGATGAATTTTTTTTTTATTTTATTTATTAATTTGAGAGAGAAAATGAGAGACAGAGAGCACGAGAGGGAAGAGGGTCAGAGGGAGAAGCAGACTCCCCGCCGAGCAGGGAGCCCGATGTGGGACTCGATCCTGGGACTCCAGGATCACGAGCTGAGCCGAAGGCAGTCGCTTAACCAACTGAGCCACCCAGGCGCCCAACATAGATGAATCTTAAAAAGTGTGCTAAATGAAAGCAGCCAGACTCAAAGACACATAATACAGGACTCCGTTTATATAAAACGTCCAGAACAGGCAAATCCATGGAGAGAGAAAGTAGATAGTAGTTGCCAGGGCTTGAGGGTAGGAAGGAAGTGGAGAGTGACTACTAACGGAGTTTCGTTTTTAGGCGATGAAAATATTCCAGAGAGAAGGTGGTGGCGGCTGCACAACTGTGAACCTACTAAAAAACCCTGAGTTGTATACCCTTAAAGGGAATCTATGGTCTTTGGATTAAATCTCAACAATTTACGACTGAAATTAAATTTAAAGAATCTAACTCCTCTCATTGACAAATGTGAAATTTCTTATGATGTGGATTTTTAATCAAACTAAAATCACATCAAATATTTCAAGATGATGAAGAACAGAATATTCACACAGAATGTGAACAGCATTTTTAGAACAGTCACCCTGCCCCTAGCTTTGACCACAAAGGTCAGAGGTATTCCTCATACGTGAAGCAGAAAGCCAGGCTGTCTGGAGCTACACCTGCCAGGAGCCCTGGACCACTCTTCAGGCCCCATGACACACATGGCTAGTTCAGGTCATGATAGATGTGTCCAGAGAAGCAGGCTTCCTGTGGATCAGGGAGCCCCATGTGGGGCTCGATCCCAGGACCCTGGGATCATGACCTGAGCTGAAGGCAGACGCTTAACGACTGAGCCCCCCAGGCACCCCTCAAGTGATATATATAATTATATATATATCACTTTCAGGTCCCTGAAACACCAGATGCTCCAGCAACGCCATGGCTCCTTGTCTTTGATGAGCAACAGACACTCAGCAGCTGCTGCCAGTGGGTGACCAGGTGGTAGTGCCCTTCCTTGGCCATATTTCAGGGAGTCCAGGACTCCTGGTGGTAAGTGACAGATAAGGGAGCTCTGGCCGCTCCAAGTTCCATCCACCTGGCCAGCCCGAAGACAGTGGGGATCAGTATCTCCCCACACACTGATTTCAAGGCACATCACTCAGGGTATTTAATTGTAAAATCTAGAATTATACTGACCCGGAGCTTACCTTGGACATAAGAATTTGTGGCCCTATGTAAATATTGATCCAGATTTCCACCAGTTTGTAAAGCCTAGTTGTTCTGGATACTTGTCACTAAATGCTGTCTTTCTTTTCCTAGGAAAGTTGAGACTGGGAAGCCTGCAGTGATACATCAAAAATGTTTTTAAAATAATCATCTTGAGGGGTGCCTGGGTGGCTCAGTTGTTAAGCATCTGCCTTCAGCTCAAGTCATGATCCCAGGGTCCTGGGATCGAGACCCGCAGCGGGCTCCCTGCTCTGCGGGAAGCCTGCTTCCCCCTCTCCCACTCCCCCTGCTAGTGTTCCCTCTCTCGCTGTGTCTCTCTCTGTCAAATAAATAAAATCTTTAATTAATAAATAAAGAAATAAAATAATCATCTTGAAAATGTTATTCAGTATTTTGCTGCTTAGTATTTGGCTATGCCATCTACATGTACACAGATTAAAGTCTCTAAAAGGGGCACCTGGCTGGCTCAGTCAGTAGAGCTTGTGACTCTTGATCTCAGAATGGTGAGTTTGAGCCCCACATTGGATATACAGTTTACTTAAAATAAATAAAAATAAAAAATAAATCTCTAATAAACTATAGCCAACCCCTGCACTAATTATACTCTGGGCAGTGGACTTTACATTATGTGTGAATGATTCTACTTTACAATAGGGATCACTATGCAGAGTAAATTGTACTTGACATTGCATAAAACACAACAGGCATAGAGTCCACCTGCAGAAGCCTGAAAGAGTATGCTCTTGACAAAAATGTAAGAATATGGTGGATCCTCAAAAAATTAAACAGAGTTACTATTTGTTCCAGCAATTCCACTTCTGAGTATGTACTAAAAATAATTGAAAGCAGGGGCGCCTGGGTGGCTCAGTCGTTAAGCGTCTGCCTTCGGCTCAGGTCATGATCCCAGGGTCCTGGGATCGAGCCACGCATCGAGCCCGCATCCGGCTCCCTGCTCCGCGGGAAGCCTGCTTCTCCCTCTCCCACTCCCCCTGCTTCTGTTCCCTCTCTCCCTGTCTCTGTCTGTGGAAGGGGGGAAGGGAGGAAGGAAGGAAGGAAGAAAGAAAGAAAGAAAGAATTGAAAGCAGGAACTCAAACAATATTTGTTATCACGTTCATAGCATTATTCACAATAGCCAAATGATGGAAACAACCCAAATGTCCGTCAGTAGATGAATGAATAAACAAAATGTGATATATACATACAATGGAATGCTATTCAACCTTTAAAAAATGTAACTGATACATGCTACAATATGAGTGAACCTGTAAAACATTGTGCTAAGTGAAATAAGCCAGATTTTAAAAGGACCAATATTGTGGCGCCTGGCTGGCTCAGTCGGTGGAACACATTGGGTGTAAGATTACTTTAAAAAAATAAAATCTTAAAAAAAAAAAGGACCTATATTAATTCCACTTATATGCAGTACCCTAGAGTAGTCAAATTCATAGAGACAGAATGATGGTTGCCAGGGTCTTGGGGGAAGGAGAAATGGGAAGTTATTGTCTAATGGGGACAGAATCTGGTACGGGAAGATGACAAAGTTCTGGAGATAGAATACACTTAAAGTCATTGAACTGTATATATTTTAAAGATGTTTAAAATGGTAAACCGTACATTTAGCACAATGAAATTTTGACGAGAAAAAGAACTACATTAGCACGTGGGCAAGGGGAAGACGAGAACTAAAGGCAGACTGAGTATTTAAGTAATGAAATGCTCCACGAACTTGTGTGTCATCCTTGCGCAGGGGCCATGCCAATCTTCTCTGTATCGTTCCAATTTTAGTATATGTGCTGCTGAAACGAGCAGCAGTATCTAAGTAATTAAAATAAGAATTAATAAAATGCTAAATCAGTATCACCCAATAACAGGAGTTTGTAATCTCTTGGTCTGTGCCATCATCAGACTAGTGTGAGGTGTCATGTGTATTGAGGTACCTATTTTTAAAAACACACACCCAGGTGACAGTTACCAGGGAAGCGTGTCATAAATAGTGGTTGAAAGAGCAGGGCTCTTCCGTGGAGAAGAGGAAGGTAAGGGGGACAGGCTGGCTAGCTCCTCCCATTTAAAAGCCGTCCTGTAGAACATGTTTTATGCTGCTCCATTACTCGGAACCAGAACTGGTGGCTGGAAGCGGGATTTTATTATTTTTTTTTTTAAAGATTTTATTTATTTATTTGAGAGAGAGAGAATTAAGAGACAGAGAGCACGAGAGGGAGGAGGGTCAGAGGGAGAAGCAGACTCCCTGCCGAGCAGGGAGCCCGACGCGGGACTCGATCCCGGGACTCCAGGATCATGACCTGAGCCGAAGGCAGTCGCTTAACCGACTGAGCCACCCAGGCGCCCTATTTTTTATTTATTTACAAGATTTCATTTATTTATTTGAGAGAGAGAGAGCGAGCATGAGCAGGGGGAGGGTCAGAGGGAGAAGCAGACTCCCCGCCGAGCAGGGAGCCCGATGCGGGACTCGATCCCGGGACTCCGGGATCATGACCCGAGCCGAAGGCAGTCGCTTAACCGACCGAGCCACCCAGGCGCCCTGGAAGCGGGATTTTAGAGGTGAAAAGGCCGTCAGTGACTTCGTCCAAGCCCCTTACAGATGGCGCCACCTGCCTTGGACCACACAGCCCGTGAGGGCGGCCAGGTTTCCAAGGAGGGGGGATCCCCGCGCCAGGCGCCGGCGCTTCTCGGGCGGCGAGCTGATTCCCCCAGCGCATCCCAAACCGTGTCAGCACCTTCACCTCCTCCGAACTGGCTCACCGTGCTCCCCTCCATTCTCCGGGGAAGCATCACCGCGCGGCGCGCTCCCTCCTTCACCCCCGCCCCCCGCCGCCTCCGTGACCCCGGGCCGCGACCGGGCTCCCGCCCCCTCCGCACAGACGGAGGCGCCCCCCCGTCTCCCTCGACCTCCGCAGGCTGCGCTCGCCCGTCCCCCCCCGTCGCCGCACGTCGGGAGTCAGTCGGAGGATTCGCGCGACGGGGCCAGTGGCTGCCGCCCCGCGCGCGTCCGCGGCGACGGAAGACGTGACCCTACGGAGCCTCGCAAGCCCAGGGGCGTGTTTGTCCGTCAGGAGCCCGGCAGGGAAACAGAAGGCGCTCCAAACGCTCGGAACAGAACGTGCAGGATCGGGAACCGGTCTCGCCCGAGCTGCAAGAGCAGGAGCGCGGGCCTGAGGCGTCCCCAACGCCCGCAGCGGCGGCGAGGCCTCGGGCAGCCCCTCTCACGTCCCCGGGCTCCGGCCAGCTCGCCCGCTGCGCCACCCACGGCCGGTCCGCCGGCGGAGGCGACGGCACAGCCCGCGCTGGGCGCCAAAGGAAGAGGAAGGAGATGCGCGGACGCCCCTCCCCTGCCCCTCTGCCCTCCTCCGCACCTCCCCGCAACTTTCTCCCCGTCTTCTCCCCTCCCCCCTCCCTCCACTCCCCTTCCCCTCCTCTCCCTTCCCCTTCCCTTCCTCCTCCCCGTCTCTTCTCTCCCTCCCCCTCCCTTCCTCCTCCCCAACCTTCTCCCCATCCCTTACCCCTCCACCCTTTCTCTCCCTTCCCTCCCCCCTCTCTCCCCCCTCCCCACCCCTCCTCTCCCTTCTGCTTCCTTCCCCTCCCCTCCCTTCTACTCCTCCCCTTCCCCTCCCCTTCCTTCTACCCCTCCCCTTCCCCCTTCTTCCCCTCACCTCCCACCACTGCCTCCCACTGGCTGAACCACAATCCAGCTGACAGTGACTTCCAGGTGAGCCTTGCCCCCAACCCAAGACAGGAGACAGAGCAGGGAAAGGGCGAGGAACATACCTGAAGGCCAACGGATTCTGTCATTTTATGAGTGCACAAATAATAAAGTTACACAGTGTATAAACCCTCTTCCAACAAAATCCACATGTCTTTTTTTTTTTTCTTTCTTTAAACAGGGGAGACCAGAGTATAAATCTGAAGATCTCCTGATACGGAAGAAGATAACAAAGTTTGATACCATTCTAACTAAAATTCAACTTGTAATAATTGACAGCTTTTCTGCCATTTTATTGTTTTACATCAAGTTGCTAATTGATGCAACACACCTTATAAAGGGTAACTTGCAAAAGGTCATCCTGAAAACGAAGTAAGTTTTTTTTTTTTCTTCTTTCAGGAATATTCATAGCAGCTTTATTTGTAATAGCCCAAAACTGAAAACAGTCCATCAGAATGTCCATAGACAGGTGAATGGACTAACATGTGAACATATGGCCATACGAAGGAATGCAACTCAGTGGTAAAAGTGTATGAGCTATTGATGAACACACAGCACAGGTAAATCTCAAGATAATTATGCTGCCTGGGCACCTGGGTGGCTCAGTCGGTTAAGCATCTGCCTTCAGCTCAGGTCATGATCCCAGGGTCCTGGGATCAAGCCCCGTATCGGGCTCCCTGCTCAGTGGTGTCTGCTTCTCCCTATCCCTCTGCCCCCCCCCTCTCCCACTCATGCTCTTTCTCAAATAAATAAATAAAATCTTTAAAATATATATATATATAATTTTTTTTAAAAAGATAATTATGCCGCCTGAAAGAAGTCAGACCAAAGCAAGAGTACATACATACTGTATGATTCTATTTATATAAATCCTGGAAAATGCAAGCTAATCTACAATGACCAAAGCAGATTTTCGTGGTCATCTGGAACCAAGTGGAGGGTGAAGAGGGATGAGAGGGAGGGAATCCCAAAGGGCATGAAGAAGTTTTTGAGGGTGATGCACATGTTTGTTATCTTTTTTTTTCCCCCTCACAAACATTCTCTTTAATAGATAAGCTTAACCTTGGTGGCAAATTTTAATGGAGTAGAAAGCCTTCACTCTGTATCATCTATATTTAAAGTCTATTTCTCTTTCTGAAGAGAGAAGTTCTGAGACTAATGTGCACCGAAAATGAGAAATTTAAGAAATTGGAAAAACTGCTAGTTTATTCAAGTTGTTTCACCTGGTGGTTACAACTTGTTAAGTTAGTTATCTATTGGTTTGAGAGTGACTGATGGTGATAAAAATTATCCAAAATAATGAGTCACAAGCTATTTAGGCTTTAAAAGAATACCATACTCCTAAAAATACCAGTTTTTATCTTTTAGGAACCAGTCAAATGTAAATACATATTCTACATTATATGTTGGTCTAGCTTATTTTTCATAATAGTTTTTTTTTTAAGAGAGCATGATCAGGAGGGGCAAAGGGTGAGGGAGAGAGAATCTCAAGCAGACTCCGTGCTGAGTGCAGAGCCCAACACAGGGCTGGGCCCAGAATCCTGAGATCATGACCAGAGCCAAGACCAAGAGTCTGATGCTTACCGACTGTACCACCCAGGTGCCCCTCTCATGATAGTTTTTGAAAACTATCACCCTAACAGGGTTTATTTCACAAAGGTACTTATGTGGTGAAGCAGAGCTATCAGGCACCCATAAATAAGACATCTGTCACTAGTACCTGTTCACATACCTCCTCTCTGTCACCCTATCTGATCACCACCCTCAAGAAAATTCTCATTTCCATAACCATCAATTCCCAAACTATCAAGTCTATCAAGCTTTAGTGTTCTTCCTACCCCATCCATCACTCCCTACCCCACCACACACACACACACACACACACGCACACTTCATTAAAAATTGGTATAGGCATTAAGAAACCTTAAAGACTGTAAAATCTATCATTCTAATATCAAGTAGCTCTTTAAAACTTTAGTAAGCATAAGCTCACATGGAGGGCTTGTTATTTAATGCAGATTTTCATGCCTACTCTCAGAACTTTTAAGTTCATAGTTCTAGGTGAGGAATCAGCATTTTTATCTTTCATCTTTGGCATTATAATTATGTGTTGTGATGTGGACCTCCTTGGGTTCATTTTGTTGGAATTCTCTGTGCATCCTGAACCTGAATGTCTATTTCCTACCCCAGGTTATTTCTTCAAATAAGTTTTCTGCCCCCTTCTCTCTCCCTTCTCCTTCTGGGACCCCTATAATGTGAGTATTTATTTGCCTGATGTTGCCCAAGATATCCCTTAACCTAGTCTCATCTTTTTTCATTCTTTTTTCTTTTTGTTCTTCAGCTTGGATGCTTTCCATCACCCTGTCTTCCAAGTTGCTGATCCATTCCTCTGCATTTTCTGATCTACTGTTAATTCCCTCTAGTGTGACTTTCATTCCAGTTATTGTGTTCTTCAGCTCTGATGCATTCTTTTTTATATTTTCTATCTCTTCGTGAAGTTCTCACTAAGCTCTTCCACTCCTCTCCAGTCTCGTGAGCATCTTTATGATTTTTACTTTGAACTCTTTATCAGGTAGATTGTTTATCTCCATTTCATTTAGTTCTTTTTCTGAGGTTTTGTCTTATTTTTTCATTTGGAGCATATTCCTCTGTCTCCTCATTTTGCTTGACTTTCTGTGTTTGTTTTTATGAAGCACATGGAACACCTACTTCTCCTAAACTTAACGGAATTATCTTGTGTAGGGTCATCCTCTGTTTACTTTTTTTTTTTTTTTTAAGATTTTATTTATTTATTAGACAGAGAGAGACACAGCAAGAAAGGGAACACAAGCAGGGGGAGTGGGAGAGGGAGAAGCAGGCTTACCGCCGAGCAGGGAGCCCGATGTGGGGCTCAATCCCAGGACCCTGGGATCATGACCTGAGCCAAAGGCAGATGCTTAACTGACTGAGCCACCCAGGCGCCGGGTCACCTCTGTTTAGACTTTAAGTGCCTGGTGACTTTAAAGGGCTGGCTAGAGCTGTGGCTGGTGTGGGCTGGGGGTCTCAGGGCACTCTGTGCTGAGGCTGCCCTGGTGGGGTGGCCAGAGCTGACATAGGTGTGGGCCCTGGTAGTCCCAGGGCTTTGGGCACAGAGGGCACACTGGCAGGACAGCTACAGCTAAAGTGGGCACAGGCTGGGGCTGTTCTGGGGCTCTCTGCACTGTGGACACACTGGCAGGACAGCTGCAGCTGAAGTGGGTGCAAGCTGGAGTGTCCCAGGACACTCCATGCACGAGCACCCTAGCAGGGAGGCTGGGATGGAGGCAGGCATGGGCCAGGGTGTCCCAGGGTACTCTGCTCCAGCAGTGCCCAGGCGAGTCATCTGGAGCTGAAATGGTGCAGGCTTGGAGTGTTCCAGGGTGCTATGCACCTTTGTCACCTTGGCAAGATGACTGGAGCTATAGTGAGCACTGACCAGGGGTGTCCTGGTGTGCACTGAACTGGGGCCACCTTGGTTGAATGTCTGGCGCTGGTGTGGGCTAGGGGCCCAGGGCTCCCTGAGGCAGTAGGCTGGCTAGGGTGCCAGGACCCTGCTCTCATCCACAATGTCAAGGTGGAGGAGAATGTAAACCATAGCACTTGCCAGCCCCTCTGGCCCAGAAAGACTTCCAGCAGCTCCCCCGCTAGTTGGTAGGGCTCTTGGGCTGGATCTTTTATATCCTAGTTGCTGATTGATTGATTGATTTAAAGTAGGCTCCATGCCCAATATGGTGGAGCTTGAACTCAGGACTCTGAGATCAAGAGCCCCATGCTCTACCGACTAAGCCAGTCAGACAGCCCTCTAGTTGCTGTTTTAAACCATGACTTTTTTTTTTCTGTGCCTCTGGGTGTCCTGGGCTCACTAAGGCCACAGGCCAGCTGTGGTAGCCAGAGCCCAGCTCCTGTCTCAGGATGCAGGGAGAGTGTAAACCATGGCACTCCCCAGCTCCCCTCACCCCCCACCTCCGGCCTGGAGAGTTTCAGCAGCTCCCCAGGGTTTGGCACAGTTCTAGGGCTGAATCCTTTATATTCTAGTTTCTCTTTTTTTTTTTTTTAAGATTTTTTTTTTTATTTAAGTGACAGAGAGAGACACAGCGAGAGAGGGAACACAAGCAGGGGGAGTGGGAGAGGGAGAAGCAGGCTCCCCGCTGAGCAGGGAGCCGGATGCAGGGCTCGATCCCAGGACTCTGGGATCATGACCTGAGGCAAAGGCAGATGCTTAACGACTGAGCCACCCAGGCACCCCAAAAGCCATGGTTTAAAAGAGAAACTAGAGGGGCGCCTAGGTGGTTCAGTCGTTAAGCATCTGCCTTCGGCTCAGGTCATGATCCCAGAGTCCTGGGATGGAGCCCCGCATTGGGTTCCCTGCTCCGCGAGGGGAGCCTGCTTCTCCCTCTCCCACTCCCTCTGCTTGTGTTCCCTCTCTCCCTGTGTCTCTTTCTGTCAAATAAATAAATAAAATCTTTTAAAAAAATAAAAAAATAAATAAACCATGGTTTTTTTCCTGTGCCCTCCCCCCCCAACCCCACCCAGGGCAGATGAATCTGCTCCTAGTCTCTCTGTACTAGCCCTCCCCACTGCAGTTCTCAGTGCTGGGGGTGGGGGTTCCCTTTGTTACTGTGTGTCTATCTCTCTTGCCCTTCTCAGTGTGATCTCTCTTTATTTTGCTGGGCAGAAGCTGTTCAGTCAGCCCTCAGTTCTTCTTCAGGAGGAATTTCTCTATAAATAGGTATAGATTTGGTGTGTTCCTGGAGGAGGTGAGTTCAGGGTCTTCCTAAGTCACCATCTTGGTAACTTACAAATAAGCTCTTGATTGAGTTCCTTCTGTCTCTTCCCCCCTTTTTGTTCTGAGACCATTTAGAATCCATCTTAGATCTAATTCAGGTCCTCAGCAACCAATTTGACCATATTCACCTAAATCACTTATGGACAACCAAACACTCTCTGATAATACACAGCCAAAAAGGCATCTTCTCAGTCATTTCAATTATTTATGTATAAAAATATACATGAAGAGGATTAGTGACATATGTAATCCTCAAGAGAAAGCAATTCCCAATTCACTTTTTTTTTTTTAAAGATTTTATTTATTTATTTGACAGAGAGAGACACAGCGAGAGAGGGAACACAAGCAGGGGGAGTGAGAGAGGGAGAAGCAGGCTTCCTGCTGAGCAGGGAGCTGATATGGGGCTTGATCCCAGGACCCTAGGACCATGACCTGAGCCAAAGGCAGACGCTTAACGACTGAGCCACCCAGGCACCCCCAATTCACTTATTTTTTACTTTGGAATTTTTTATGGGATGATATCATTTTATGTCAAGATTATACTCCAGGAAAACTGCACATTATATCAAAGAGGGGAATTATTTTTATAGGAATTAATATAAAAAGTCTAGCTGCATTCCCAGACAGCTACTCCCAGACTTTCCAATACATTACTTATAAAAACTGTCCCCAAACTCTTTGAATGACACATTCATTCTTAATTTTAAAATGTTGATTCTGGACTTGAGAGGAGACTATGCAGATGTTCTTGGTATTTCCCCAAAGATGACTACCCACGTGTAGCCCTTGACCAGCGTGAATTAGGCAAAAGGTGAGGACAGAGCAGAAGTCAAGAGCCAATGTGGGCAACCCCAGATCCGAATGCAAGAGACAGCTCCTCAGGGAAAGTGAGAACATGCAGTCGACTGAGGGTCTGAAGTCCTCCCTCTTTTTTCCAGACAGTGAAGAAGTGTCCATTTCTCTTTGCGATATATCTTAGCTCTGAGAATCTCACAGCAACACACATAAGCACAACATAACTACCAGATGCAATAATTTATACCAAAATTATGCTAAATAAATAAGCATCTCAGTGCGAAAGGGAACAGCATAGGAAGAGTCAACATAGAACTCTATAGATTTTTTTTTTTTTAATAACACAAACAACTGTCCAAAGAGAGAGGGAGTGCAGATGTATACTGCTAGTCAACAGAAGGAAGCCTGCCTGCGATTGAAATTTTGCTGGGGGTGAAATCCGTGAGGGCAGCTCAGGGCTGACTGGGCAGACGCATGAACTGCCAGGTGAGGTGTTCTCCAGCCCAGTGCCCTACGTGGCAAACACCCAGGGGCTGGGCCCATACTCGTCATCACTCATTCAACTTCACTGAGCTTTGACCGAAGAGGGAACACACAGTCCCTGCCCTCAAAGAGTCCTTAGTCTACGAGACACTGCATGGAAAACATTATAATGCAGTATAACATCATAATAGAGTTACAGAGGCAGCACAAGGGAGGAACGGATGAACTGCATTTGAGAAGGGAGTCAGGACCACTGGTCAGAGAAGAGACTCCATGAGTTTCATAATAAAACTGCCATATTTGGATAGAACTTTCACTCACATTAATAGCTCATTTATGCTTAGGATGACCCCATGAGGTACGTCATTCTCTTCATTTTACAGATGTGGAAAATAGGCTCCCAGAGGATATGAGACTATGATTCGTAAACGTAACACTGAGCATTTACTGGGTGTGATGTGCTGACCTGAGCAGTCTATGGGCATTATTTCATTTAATCTCTGCAGCAATAATTCTTAACACTCTTCATTTTACAAATGAGAAAACCAAGATGTACAGAAGTTAAAGTAACTTGTCCAAGTCAGGATTTGAATTTAGTTAGGATTCAGAACCTGAGCCCTTAACAACTCTACTACATGATGCGACTTCCCATCCTTGTGCAAGTAAGTACTTCAGTTTTCAATTATCCAGACGGGCTCCGTGTAGTGGGTGTCAGACACACCTGGGCTAGAATCTGTCATCGGTCATTTACCAGCTTTCTGATCTTAAATCAATTTACTTAACCTTTTCTTACCTTCACTTTCTTCATCTATAGAATAGGAATTGTATATATCTGGCCACCCCAATTATTTTTGCTCACAGCATCTTTACTTATTCTTTTATTTTGCACTTAACCCAGTTTGTAATTAATTGCTGACATCTGCCTCTACCTGTAGAATATAAGCTACATGAGGGCTACGACTGCTTATACACGTTTGCTTACCGTTGTAACTCCAACATGTAGCACAGAGCCTGGCACATGGTGGATACTCAATAAATACTTGTTCAATGGGGCGCCTGGGTGGCTCAGTCGTTGAGTGTCTGCCTTAGGCTCAGGTCATGATCCCAGGGTCCTGGGATCAAGCCCTGCATCGGGCTCCCTGCTCCGCGGGAGGCCTGCTTCTCCCTCTCCCACTCCCCCTGCTTATGTTCCCTCTCTCACTGTGTCTCTCTCTGTCAAATTAATAAATAAAATCTTTAAAAAATAAAAATAAATAAATAAATATTTGTTCAATAAATAATTCATCCCAGGGGAGAAAGAGAGCTTTCCCCCCACCTTCATTAAATAGGACTTCCCTGGAAGAGTTCTCATAGAAGTAACGGGGCAATGAGATATTATGAATGACCACTCTTGGGTAATTCAGGACCATCTCCTGCCAAGAGAGGTGAGATGCTGACTGGCACCTACCAGAATCACAGGTAGGGCCAGCATCATCATAGTGTGACCTGGACTCTGAGCTCAGAAGGGCCCTCCCTGCATGTGGGTTAAAGCTCTGCTGTTACTGTCTTGAAATTCCTTTTTTTTTTTTTTTAAGATTTTATTTATCTATTTGACAGAGGGAGAGATAGCGAGAGAGGGAACACAAGCAGGGGGAGTGGGAGAGGGAGAAGCAGGCTTCCCGCTGTGCAGGGAGCCCGATGCGGGCTCCATCCCAGGACCCTGGGATCATGACCTGAGCCGAAGGCAGACGCTTAACGACTGAGCCACCCAGGCGCCCCAACTGTCTTGAAATTCTTAATAATTTCTTTTAACAAAGACCCCTTCATTTTTATTTTGCACAGGGCACTACAAATTATACAACTGGTCCTAGTCACACAGAATGGGTGATGAGGGAGGAGAAAGGGGAACACGAGGCAACATTTCTATCAAAACAAGGTCAGGGGATGCTGGAAAGTCCAAAACAGTGAACACCATGTATGTCTTGAGAAATGCAGCTATGTGCCCAGTTCATCATTAGATAGACCGTGAGCTCCTTGAAGGCAGAGATAATACCTGCCTTGTTCAGTGCTGTCTGTAGTTTAAAATGGTGCTGGCATTTTCTTTTAATCAATCTGATGATTTTGAAATGATTGTAAATTCCACTTGCAGCTGTAAGAAGTAACACAAAGAGATCCTGTGTACCCTTAACTCAGTTTTCTCCAATGCTAACATCCTGCAAAAGTGTAGTACAATATCACAACCAGGATATTGACATTGATATGGTCCAGATACCCAACATTTGCAGCACCACAAGGATCCCTTGGGTTGCCCTTTTATAGCTACACCCACTTCCCTCCCACCTCCGTTTCCTCAACTCCTGGCAAGCACTAATCTGTTGTCCATTTCTATAATTTTGTCATTTTAAGAATATTAAATAAATAGAATCATACAGTATGTAACTTTTGTGGGATTGGTTTTTTTTTCACTCAGCATAATTATCTGGAAATTCAGCCACTTGGGTATATTGATAGTCTGTTCCTTTTTATTACTGAATGGTATAGATATACCACCATTTAACCATTCACCCCGTTGGAGGACATCTGCATGTTTTCAGTTTGGACCTAATATAAATAAAGCTGCTAAGACCTGTTCATGGATTTTATGTGAACAGCAGTCTTCATTTCTCTTGGATAAGTGCCCAGGAATGCAACCACTGGGTTGTATGGTAGTTTCATGTGTACATTTTAAACTGCCAAACTGTTTTCCAGGGTGGCAATACCATTTTGCATTCCCACCTGCTCTGTATGGGTGATCCAGTTTCTCTGCATTCTTGCCAGCATTTGGTGTTGTCACAGTTTTTAATTTTAGCCGTTCTGATAGGTGTATTGTAATAACTCATTGTGGTGTTTTTGTTTTTGTTTTTAAGTAACCTCTATACCCAACGTGGGGCTTGAACTCACAACCCCAAGATCAAGAGTCACATGCTCCACTGACTGAGCCAGCCAGGCACCTTGACTCATTGTGAATTTATTTTTTTTTTAAGATTTTATTTATTTATTTGAGAGAGAGAGAGATTGAGAGAGAGCATGAGAGGAGAGAGGGTCAGAGGGAGAAGCAGACTCCCCGCTGAGCAGGGAGCCAGATGTGAGACTCCATCGAGGGATTCCAGGATCATGACCTGAGCCGAAGGCAGTCGCTTAACCAACTGAGCCACCCAGGTGCTCTCATTGTGAATTTAATCTGCATTCATCTAATGCATTATCTAGATGTTGAATATCTCTTCATGTGCTTATTTGCTGTCTGTACATCCTTTTTGATGAAATATCTCCTTGTGTCTTTTGACTATTTTCTAATTGGATTGTTTGGTTCTTAATTGTTGAGTTTTAATAGTTTGCAGATACTTTTTCCCACTCTGTAGCTTGTCTTTTCATCCTCTTTTTTTAAGAACTTTTTTTTAAAAGATTTTATTTATTTATTTGATAGAGAGAGCGAGAGAGCACAAGCAGGGGGAACAGTAGAGGGAGAGGGAGAAGCAGGTTCCCCGCCAAGCAGGGAGTCCGATGCGGGGCTCGATCCCAGGACCCCTGGGATCATGACCTGAGCCGAAGGCAGACGCTTAACCATCTGAGCCACCCAGGTGCCTCTCTTTTCATCCTCTTAACAGAATCTTTTACAAAGCAAAAGTTTTTAATTCTGATGAAGTCCAATTTATCAATTCTTTCTTTTATGGATCATGTTTTGGTGTCAAATCTAAGAACTCAGGCCCTAAATCATGAGCATTTTCTCCTATGTTTTATTCTAGAAGTTGTATGTGTGGTTTTTTTTTTTTTTTAGATTTATTGATTGATTCATTCATTTAAGAGCAAGAGAGCATATACAGAGGGAGAGAATCTTCAAGCAGACTCCCCACTGAGCTCAGAGCTGGACCCATGAGATCATGACCTGAGCCAAAACCCAGTGTCAGACACTCAACTGACTGAGCCCTGGTGTCCCTAAAAGTTGTATGGTTTTATGTTTTACATTTAAGTTCATGATACATGTTGAGTTAATTTTTGTATAAAGTGTGAGAATAGGTCAAAGGTTTTGTTTGTTTATGAACGTCCATTTGCTCCAGCACTATTTATTGAAAATGCTCTTTCCTCCATTGAATTGCTTTTGCACTCTTGTCAAAATTTAGTTGGGCATATTTGGGTGGATCTTTTTTTTTTTTTTTTTTAAGATTTTATTTATTTATTTACTTGAGAGAGAGAGAGAAACAGCATGAGAGGGGATAGGGTCAGAGGGAGAAGCAGGCTCTTCGCCGAGCCGGGAACCCGATGTGGGACTCGATCCCAGGACTCCGGGATCATGACCTGAGCCCAAGGCAGTCGCTTAACCAACTGAGCCACCCAGGCGCCCTATTTGGGTGGATCTTTTCCCAGGTTCTCTGTTCAGTCCATTAATCTATATGTCTATTTCTCCACCACTACCATACAGCCTTGATTACTGTAGCTGTATAAGTCTCGAAAGCAGGAAAAGTGATTGCTCTCACTTCACTTTTCCTTTTTTTTTTTAAGATTTTATTTATTTATTTTATATAGAGAGACACAGTGAGAGGGGGACCACAAGCAGGGGGAGTGGGAGAGGGAGCTGAGCAGGGAGCCCAATGCGGGGCTTGATCTTAGGACCCTGGGATCATGACCTAAACTGAAGGCAGACGCTTAACGACTGAGCCACCCAGGCGCCCCTTCACTTTTCCTTTTCAAAATTGTTTTAGCTATTCTAGTTCTGTTGCCTTTCCATATAAATTTTAGAATAATTTTGTCTGTAACTGCAAAAAACTTGCTAGGATTTTTACAGGAATTGTGTTAAAATGTATAACAATTTGATGAAAATTGACATCTTGACTATGTTGAATTTTCTAATACATGAACATGGTATGTCTCTCCATTTATTTAAAAAACTTAAAAAAAAAAAACCTTTTTAAAACTTCTCTCATCAGTGTTGTGTCATTTTAAGCATACAAGTCCTATACAGGTTTTGTTAGATTTATACCTAATTATTTAATTTTTTTGATGATTATAAATAGCATAAAATTCTAAATTTCTATGGCCACATGTTTATAGCTAGTAGATATAAAATAATTACTTTTTGTATGTTTATCTTGTATCCTGTGACCTTGCTGATCTTACAGAGTAGTTCTAAGAGTTTGGTTGTGGTTTTTTGTTTATTTTTAATGATTATTTGAGATTTTCTAAATAAACTATATCTCATCTAAAAATGGGATGGTCTTATTTCTTTGTTTCCGATCTGTATGCCTTTTACTTCCTTTTTTTTTTCACCTTATTGCACTGGCTACAAGTTCCAGTATTATACTGAGTAAGAGTGCTGAGAGGTCATCCTTGCCCTGTTCCCAATTTTAAGGGGAAAGCATTCAGTATTTCACCATTAAGTATAATGTTGACTGTAGGCTTTTTGTAGATGCTTTTTATCAAGTTCAGGAAGTTCTCCTCTGTTCCTACTTTTCTGAGAGTCTTTAACATGAATAGATGTTGAATTTTGTCAAATGTTTTTCCTGTATCTATTGATATGATTGTGTGATTTTTCTTCTTGAAACTGTTAATATGGCAGAATCCATTGATTGGTTTTTAAATACTGAACCAGCGTTGTATCCCTGGAATAAACCCCACTTGGTCATGGTGAATAATTCTTTTTATATATTGCTAGATTCTATTTGCTAATACTTTGTTAAGGATGTTTATGTCTGTATTAATGAGAGATACTGGTCACAGTTTTCTTTTTTTATATTGTCTTTGTCTGGTTTTGTTATCAGGATAAAACTGGCTTCATAAAATGAATTGAAAAGTGTTCTCCTATTTTCTGGAGAAGACTGTAGAATTGGCTTTAATTCTTTACCCATTTGGTAGAATTCTTCAGTGAAACTATCTGAGCCTGGATTTCTCTTTTGGAAGCTTTAAAATTATAAATTCATTTGCCTTAATAGTTATAGGGATATTCAAATTATCTATTTCACATTGAATGAGTTGAGGTAATTTGTGTTTCTTGAGGAAGTGGTCTAAGTTGTTGAATTTATGTGTATAGAGTCTGTGATATTGTCCTATGATCCTTTTATATGCAAGGTTGGAAGTGATATCACCTGTTTCATTCCTGATATTGGTAATTTGTATCTTCTCCCTTTTCTCTTTGTCAGTCTTGCTGGAAGCATGTCAGTTTTAATGATCTTCTTAAGAATCCATTTTTGGGGGCACCTGGGTGGCTCAGTCAGTTAAGCGTCTGCCTTCGGCTCAGGTCATGATCCCAGGGGCCTGAGATCGAGACCTGTGTCTGGTTCCCTGCTTAGCAGGGGAGTCTGCTTCTCCCTCTGCCCCCCCGCCCCCCCGGCTGATGCTCTCTCTCTCTCCCAAATAAATAAATAAAATCTTTTTTAAAAATCCATTTTTGTTTCATTGATTTTCTTTGTTTTTCTGTTTTCAATTTCTATTCTTATCTTTATTATTTCTTTCATTCTGCTTGCTTTGGGTTGATTTTGCTCTTTTTCTTCCACATTCTTGAAGTGGGAACTTAGATCATTCTTTTCCTCTTATCCAATGTGTACATTTAGTGCTAAAAATTTCTCTTCTAGCACTGTTTTAGTAGTGTCCCACAGACTTTGATATGTTGTTTTTATTTCATTCATTTCAACCTTATTTTTTATTTCCCTTAAGACTTCATCTTTCACCTATAGATTATTGAGAAGTGTGTTGATTAGGGGTACATGGGTGGCTCAGTCAGTTAAGTGACCGACTCTTGGTTTTGGCTCAGGTCATGATCTCAGGGTGGTGAGATCTAGCCCTGCATCAGGCTCTTGTGCTGGGGTGGGGGGGTCTGCTTGAAATACTTTTCCCCCTGCCTTGTCCCTCCCCCTCTGCTTCTCCTTCCATTCACGCTCTTTCTCTTTAAAATAATAAATAAATAAATAAAAAATTTTTAAAAAATGTGTTGTTTAGGGCACCTGGGTGGCTCAGTCGGTTAAGCGACTGCCTTCGGCTCAGGTCATGATCCTGGAGTCCCGGGATCGAGTCCCACATCGGGCTCCCTGCTCAGTGAGAGTCTGCTTCTCCCTCTGACCCTCCCCCTTCTCATATTCTCTTGCTCTCTCATTCTCTCTATCAAATAAATAAATAAAAAATCTTAAAAAAAAAAAAAGAAGAAAGAAAAAATGTGTTGTTTAGTTTCTAGTTGTTTTTCCTATCATCTTTCTGTTATTGACTTCTAGTTTGATTTCATTGTTGTTGGAGAAAACATTGTAGGATTTCAAATTTTTTAAAAATTTTAAAGATCCATTTTATGGCCCAGGGTAAGGTATACCTTGGTTTATGTTCCATGGCACTTTTTTTTTAATTTGAAGTTCTAACTGGCTTTATTAAACAAATGAGCATCATCCCATCTAGAACGTAGAGGGGAGATCCCCTGTTCCATGTCACTTTTAAAAGAATATATATGCTGCTGTTATGGAATGGAATGTTTTTATTTATTTAAAAAAATTTTTTTAAGTAGGTTCACACCCAATGTGAGGCTTGAACTCATGACCCTGAGATCAAGAGTCACATGTTCCACCGAGTGAGCCAGCCAGGTGCCCCTGGATGGAATGTTTCTAAAATGTGGATTAGAGGGGCGCCTGGGTGGCTCAGTCAGTTAAGTGGCTGCCTTTGGCTCAGGTCATGATCCCAGGGTCCTGGGATAGAGTCCTGCATCAGGCTCCTTGCTCAGCAGAGAGCCTGCTTCTCCCTCTCTGCCTGCCTGCTGCTCCCCCAGCTTATGCTCTCTCTCTCTCTCTGTGTCAAATAAATAAATAAAATCTTTAAAAAAATAAAAATAAAAAATAAAATGTTGATTAGATCCTGTTGGTTGACAATGTTAAATTCTTCTATATTCTTGCTGATTTTCTGTCTAGTAGTTCTATCCATTGTTGCAAGAGAAGTGTTGAAAGCACAAACTCTGATAGATTTGTCTATTTCTATTTTCAGGTCTAGCGGCTTTTGCTTCACTTGTTTTGAAGATCATTTTTGGTGTATATACATTTGGGATTGCTGTGTCTTCTTGGAGAATTGACATTTTTAGCATTATATAATATTCTCCTCTCTGGTAATTTTCTTTACTCCAAAGTCTATTTTATCTGATATTAATATAGCCTGCTTTCCTTTGATTAATGTTTGCATATCTTTTTGCATCCTTTTACTTGCACATTGCCTATATCATATTTGAAGTGAGCTTCTCATAGACAGCATATACTAGGCCGTGTTTTTAAATCCACTCTGCCAACCTCTGACTCTTAATTGATATTCTTAGACCATTTACTTTTAATGTAGTTATTGCTATGTCTAGGATTAAGTCTGTTTTATGTTTTGTTTTCTGTTTGTTCTCTTTTTTTTTGTTGGTGGTGGTTCTTTGTTTCGGTTTTATTTTGTTTGGATTTTCAGACTATTTTCTCTCTCTTGTTTAGATTAGGTAATTTCTATTGTTCTATCTTCCAGTTCAGTCATTGTTTTCCCCTGTCACTTCCATTCTGTTGTTGAGCACATCCACTGAGATATTTATTTCAGTTATTACATTTTTCTGTTCTAAAATTTCTATTTGGGTCTTCTTTTATTTTTATTATTTTGTTGTTGTTGTTAAGTCTATTTTCTCACCTGTTTCAAGCTTGTGTGCAGCTGCTTGCTGAAAAATGTTTATCATTGTTGGCTTTAAGTCTTTGTCAGATAATTCTAACAACCCTGTCATCTTGGTGTTGGCATCTATTTGATAGTCTTTTCATTCACTTTCGAGATCTCACAGTTCTTGGTAAGTTGAGTGATTTTTCAACTGAAACTAGACATCTTTATATTATGTTATGAGACTCTGGATTTTATTTTTTTTTTAAAGATTTTATTTATTTATTTGAGACAGAGAGAATGAGAGAGACATAGAGCACATGAGAGGGGGGAGGGTCAGAGGGAGAAGCAGGCTCCCCACTGAGCAGGGAGCCCGATGCGGGACTCGATCCCGGGACTCCAGGATCATGACCTGAGCCGAAGGCAGTCGCTTAACCAACTGAGCCACCCAGGCGCCCGAGACTCTGGATTTTATTTAAACCTTCCATTTAATTTAATTGACTTTTTTTTTACATCATTGCAGCAGGGGAGTGTGGAAGTAGAAGTCCAGGTTCCTCACTTAGTTTCCATTAACACCGAGGGGTGGAGGGTAGGTGTTCCAACTCCCTACATGGTCTCCACCGACACTGTAGGGGGGCATCCTCATTAATGCTGAGTGATGGTGAAAGTCCTCACTCTCCACTAGCCTCCTCCAACACTACCCCAGCAGGGAGAGGAAGGGTTGCCTCATTACTGCTGGGTTGGAGTGGATGTCCAGACCTTGTCATGGTCCCCTCTTACACAGCAGGGTTAGGGGAACTCATCAACCAGAAGGGATGAGAGTTCCAATTCCTTAATTGGCCTGCCCCACGCTAGCATGGGTGTTCGGACACCTGGTTAAAGACTTGCAAGCTGTACAGACTAGGCTCCTCATTCAGCTTTGCTGGCATGGATGCAAGTGGGGCCACATTTTTTGTCTGTTGTTTGGAGTAGAGCAGATATTGTCTAAAGTTCTCTGTTTGCTAAAGTAAGCAACCTTTTTTGTTGTTGTTTTTTCTTTTCTATTTATTTCTTCCTTTTCTGTCTGTACTCAATGGCATTCCTGGCTACCAGCTTCCTCAGCTCCAAGTCTGGGACATAGGAATTAAAAAGAAAACCCACGGAACTCACTACCATGTCATTCCTCAGGTCCCAATGTCCCAACTGGTCTGCCTCTTCTGTCTCTCAGTCTTATTATTTTTTAAAATATATCCTGTTCAGGGATTTCAGTGGTAAGAGAGAAGAATAGGGAAAAGTATGTCTACTCCACCTTCCCAGAAGTGGAAGCTCTGCCTAACACTTTTCTTTTTTTAATTTAAAGCCAGTAAATTTTTATTTAAGGAATTTTACATGATCCACTGCTAATCACCACAGTTCTTCTAAAGTCAGAATCATAATCTTCAAAATAGCCCTTTTAAAAAGAACTTCTGTTCAATCCACAGTTGTCACTGTCAGTTCAGGGTTCTTTTAGTTGGGCTCCTTTGATCTCCACTTGGATATGGACATACTTCAAAAATTCCCCACCTGTAATCTTTGGGATCCAATTTCTTTACTTTAGGGCCACGTTCTAGCACTTTTTAAAAGTGCACATCTGACCATGTATGTCACTGGTTAAAATCCTTCAGTGGCTTCCCATCACTAAGGATAAGGACCAAAACCCTTTGCATGTGTCCATTGAATAATTCTGCATGACCTGGCCCCCTACCAGTGGTAAATATTTAATAAACAAGTTGGGGAGTGGAAAACCCTGATATGCAGTGTTTGCCAATTCCCATGGTGTAAATACTACTATTATGGCCAATTTCAAGTTACCAACATGACTGCTAAATACAGAAATGAGAAGAGATGCAAACAATTGACTCTTGCACAATCATTGCACTCATTTATATCATTCTTTCTTTATACTCCAGTCATTCCAGACATCTTTATGGATGCATTGTGCATTTTCCAGCTTTGAGTCCCTTCTGCACACTGTTCCCTCTACCTGGAATGCCACCTTCTTCCATATCACTCAGTGTGTGTGTGATAGAGCCAGCTTACATCAGGTTACAAGAGCAATTTTCAGGAATTTTGCAATCTGGCTGTTCACACTACAGATCAGAGCTTTCTTGTCTTGTTTTTTTAGAGCTGGTTTTTAAACATTTACCAGCATCCCTCTGCATCTGCTTTTTTTTTTTTTTAAAGATTTTATTTATTTATTTATTTGAGACAGAGAGAGACAGAGAGCACATGAGAGGGGGGAGGGTCAGAGGGAGAAGCAGGCTCCCTGCCGAGCAGGGAGCCCGATGCGGGACTTGATCCGGGGACTCGATCCAGGGACTCCAGGATCATGACCTGAGCCGAAGGCAGTTGCTTAACCAACTGAGCCACCCAGGCGCCCCGCATCTGCTGCTTTTTGTCTGGCTCATCCTTCAATCGCAAACCATTTCTTCTAAGAAGACTTCCCCACTACCAGCAACCCCCGCAACAGACCTGCTTTCTGTTTGAAAGTACCCCAAACTTCCCCTTTCCTAAAATTCATTGGAATTATCAATAACTGACTTGCCTCTCTGCTACTATACCATAAGAGCAACGATGAAAGGGGCCTTTTGTAAATACTTGAAATATCAGATGCCTTTTTATTTAGATTAGCATGGTGTAGTTGACAGACAGCAGGTTCTGTAGATATTTTAGAAACTGTTGAATGAATAGATGGATGAAAGGAATGGAACTAAATTAAAATTATAACTGTTGCATTGTAAATAGTGAAACTGTGAAGACAGACAGGAATCTGTATGAAATCTATGAAAAGTTTTCTTAGGTTTATGCAGTAGAGTCTAGGGTACAGAATGTCATGGCCAATCACCACAGCAAGGCAAATCTCCAAAGGAGAGATCAGTACATGAGGTTTTCATAGCTTAATGCAACTGCCCCTAAGATCATACATCTCCCTACTGTAGCTCTATATAAAGCAAACAACTTGCAAATTGTTGCCGCTTCCTCTCTTATAGCCCTACAATCCCTTCTTCACAAAGCTTAAAAACTTTTAAGATTTTGTCAGTTAGTCCCTTCCCCTAATTTAAACCCTCTAGTACTTTCCCATAACATCTGCAAATCCCTACCTGCTCTGATCTGGCCTCTGCCTGTCTGTCTGATATCTCTTACCACACTCTCCTTGCTCAATAAGCTTCAAATTTATTCAACACATACTGAGCCCTGCAATGTACCAGGCACTGCATTGTTACCAATAAACAAAACAACAAAAACTCCCCTCTTGGTGAGGACACACACACACACACACACAAATAAATCTAATAAATAAGTAAATGAAAAACCTGTTAGAAAATATGCATACCATTTTTCAAAAAGGAAGAAAATACATTAAATGCCTGGGTAACAGATCATGCAGGATCTTTTAGGCCCTTGTGAAGGACTTCAGCTGCAATGTCACTACTCATAGAGGCCTTGCCTAATCCCCTAATTCTCCCCTCAATTTCATGACCTCGTTTTGTCTTTTTTTTTCTTTTTGGTTTTATTTGAGAGAGAGAGACAGAGATAATGAGAGACAGCACGAGCAGGAAGGAGAGGGAGAAGCAGGCTCTCCGCCCAGCAGGTGGCCCAACACAGGACTCCATCCCAGGACCCCAGGATCATGACCTGAGCCCAAGGCAGACACTTAATCAACTGGGCCACCCAGGTGCCCCTCGTTTTGTCTTAATAGCATTTACTCATACCTGAGGGTGTTTTTTCCCCCAATGTATTTGCTTGTGTATTATTTCCCTACAAGGAATTTAACTCCTTCATCACCACGTCTCTCCTATTTATAACAGGACCTTGTACATAATGAATTTCTTTAATGAAGGATAAATATGCCCTTAATACCTTAATTTACCATGGGTTTTTAATATCCTGTAAGGGCATTTGGGAACACAATAAATTAGATGATAGAAATTCTCAACATGGAATTATTACTCTAACAAAACTTGGGCTAAGAAAAACTGTGTAGGGTTCCTATAATGTTTTAAGGTCTCACACAATTTTTCTGTTTCCAAGTCTGGTTAAAGCTATGGTGGTGTTTTCATGGATTTGTTGTTCCTGGTTATGACCAAGATAAGGAAACAATTCGCAGTTCTTCCGGTTTGGCAATGGAGTCAATACGCTCCAATTTTCTTTTAAGAGAAAATACGAGATTTCAAATAAGCCAATACAAGATTCAAGAGTGATCTAGTCGAGTCATTTCTCTGCAAGGCTAGAGATTCACAAGGGGGGCCGGATCTAGAAATGGGAGGGTGACAAAGTACAGATGCTTTGGCTAGGAAGGAACGACCAGTAAGAATCAAGGGCCAAATGCCTCACACCAATTTAAGACGTACAGCGACTGCAGATGTGACTACAAAGCAAGGAGCGAAAAGAGGACGGAAATTAGGGAGAAAGGACCCCATTGTCTGATGACCAACTGAGGAACAGGAAATGTGTGCTCAAGTATGTGAAGTTGAAGCCGTGTACCTTAACCAAAGGGCATTCTAGCACGGACTGGTATTTCGGGCGGGCTGGAGATGGCATCTCCCCGGCTCCCAGTTCTCCTCCGCTTATTTCAGGTGGGCAGGTTAAGGCAGGAGTGGAAAATGCCTACACAGTTGGGCCCCGGAGAGGACACTGGGGGAGCTCCCGTCTCCCCGTCGAATCCTGAGCATTTCGCGAATCGGAATCAGGACCCAAACGGTGCCCGGACCCGGCTCTCCCAGGGAGGCTGCACGTCGGGCCTGGCTCAGAAGCGGGTCGGGACCCGCGAAATTGTGGGGTCTCCGGTTTCGGCAGCAGGAGGCGGGGCGCCCGCCCTCGCCGCTTCCCCGGGGAAATGCAGCGTTAGACCCGCCGGCACTGGAGCTGTGCGTCGGCGGCGGCGGCGGCGGCGGGGGGAGGCGGGGCGGGGCCGGGGCGGCAGGTCGCGGCCGAGGCGGAGGAAGCAGCCGCCGCCCCAGCTGAAGGAGCGTGGACGGGGGCTTCCCGCGGGAGCAGGCGAGGGGGAGTCTTTCGAGCATTTCCACCCGGCTCGATCACGTCGGCTCGGCCCCGCCCGGCCCCGCCCGGCCCCGCCCCGGCCACCGCCTCTTCCACAGCCGACGCGGGGGCCGGAAGGGGGAAGGAGGGACCTGTACCAGCGCCTTTAAGAGGCGTGGCCACGCGCTCCGCCCCCGCCTGCCCTTCCCGCGCCAGCAAGGGGCGGGGTACGGGAGGAGGTGCCGGGGCGGGAGGGGAGCGAGGCGTGCGCTGGTGCGCAGGCGCAGTGGCCGGACGACGGACCTTGTGTTTCCAAAATGGCGGCAGCGATGGATGTGGATACCCCGAGCGGCACCAACAGCGGCGCGGGCAAGAAGCGCTTTGAAGTGAAAAAGGTTGGGTCTCGCCAGCGCCTTCCTCAGGGAAGGTAGAGAGGCGCGGATCTGGCTGGCAGGCCCGAGGATGACCGAGGCGCGGAGGAAAGGGCTTCATTTCAGGGCGTTCCTGGGGCCGGGTACCAGGAAAGGAAGCTGGGGGGCGGGTCTTAGAATTGATCGGCGTGAGTGGGGCCCACTGCCAATGGCAGTATTGGTTTCGCTAGGAGTCTGAGGGGCCAATCACGGAGGCGCTTATTGCGATACGCGGGGTTGCGACTTGGCTGAGAGAGCCAAGCGCCTGAGCTGTCACTGGAGTGGTGGAGGGGTGGGGAGGAGTGGGTGGGGTGGATGGAAGGGGGAGTCGGAGCGATGCGGTGGGTGGAGGATGGGGGCAGTGCGGCGAAAGCCGGGACCTGAGTTCCTACTGCATTGGAGGCCTCTGAGGAGCCCCGCTGGTGATTTCCTTGCCCCGCCTCTTCCCGAAGCCCGGGGTCCAGGGACCCCAGCCCGGTCCTCGCCTAATCAAGGCCTCCCTTAGCCCTCTCTCTTAGTCCTCGTCCCCGCCGAGTTGAAGTGTCTCCAGTGTAACAACTCTTGACTCTTCTGAGAGGTCTGTTGGTTTGTCACGCAGACGCCACAGTCCTGTGGTCATATCCAGAATCGATTCCCTCTGTCCAAAAAAAAAAAAAAACCCATGGTGGAATTTGTTAAAAAGAAAACGCGAGCCCAAACCTTGTGTCGTTTAGGAAGGGTTGACTACTAGTGGCGAACGACCTGGTGCAAGTGGGAAAGCAAAAATGTGGAACGTGTCTTTTTGCATGAAATGCCTTACAGTGGTTTGCCAACAGTTTGGGAGAAAAGTGCCGATTCCCACATAATTTCAAATAAATCTGTTCAAAATGAAGACTCTGGGATAGGGAAAATGTTATTCTTGGAACATCTGGCTAAACACTGACAATATTCCCCGTCTTAGTGCTTTTTTGGTGTTTCATTGTGGGCACTGCATGCTCAGTAACAGCCAGCAGCCATATTGAAGAATAGAAATAGGGGTTTTTTTTCCCTTCAAGTTGAAGCTGTCGGGTGAAAAGTGCTGAAGAAGTTGAACTAGACACTGAGAATTGGGTTTGAAAGAGATGAAGGTTTTGGAAGTGGCACCAAATTAGTGGATGAAAAGGGAGTTTGGGAATATTTGTAATTGCAGAAGCCAGAAGATTGAATTACTTAAATGCCGCTTTCAGATGAGCTCTTAATTGGAATTACCTTAACTAAATATGAGTCTGGGCATGTGAAAGTTGAGAACATCAATTTATTTGATAATAATAACTAACCAAAATTCTAGTGAATTCTAGAGTTTGTTGTGAAATAATCTTGTAAGATTTAAGTGGTGACCTTGCTCTGTGTACTGACACTGGGTAATTAGTTATCCAGCTTATCCCATGATTACCCATTTTATGATCCAATCATCATCTTAGTCCATTCTGTTCCTAGCTTTCACCTCCCCACTCATTCTTTCAAAGCTGCCTTGAAGAGCAGATATTTATCTGTGCAGAAATTGAGTTCTTCAGGGGAATCTGTACAGAAATTCAAGTTTGTGTTTATTAAACCTAAAACAGGCACTTAAAAATTATTCCTGATTTTCTTACATTGATATGGTTGACTAAATTATTGTAAGCTGTAGGAGAGAATAAAGATGATTAATCTGTGTTCGTATACTCAACTGTTGGAAGAACGGGTGAGCACACATGTAGCCTGCTGTTGCCCTCTGATAAAATAAATAAGAGTAATGTAATATCCCCAAACTCTTGTGGCCAAAGAGGTGATAACTGCAGGTGCAGCATGAAATCCTAGAGTGTGTGTGTGCCTGTGTTACAAGGAGAGTGCATTGTTCCCCCTTTTTCTCTTTGCAGTGGAATGCAGTAGCCCTCTGGGCCTGGGATATTGTGGTTGATAACTGTGCCATCTGCAGGAACCACATTATGGATCTTTGTAAGTAACTGGAGGAGAAGGGGAGGAAGTTGAGAAGTTACAGAGATTGTGGCTATCCTGATGTGACCAAATTTCTTCTTCCCAAGGAGATATAAAGCATAGTCAGAACACTTGGTGTCTTCTGCCTCTAGTCCGTTGGTATATTTGAAATAGAGTAGATTTAATGATATCCTGGAGGCACACTCATCTCTCAGAATAAATATACTCAATCTAAAGATGGCAAGCACACATTTAGAATGAGTTGTGGACACAGAGGCACTGTTGATTATTCCTCTATATCTCCCATCTCATACCCAGACTCAAAGGCAAAAATAGTGAAAGGAAAAAAATAAACTTTGAGCTAAAATATTCTACCAAAGCTAGTTTTTGCTTGGCAAGATTTATAAAGAAAGAAGCCAAATAAGTAAGGAATTGCAATGTTAGCCCCAAAGTTAAGAGGACATCACTGCCAACATCTAAATAGACAACTAATTGCAGTAAAGAAAGTTCATTTAAATCTCCTACATCTTCCATCATGTATAGTAACCAGCACATGGTGAATTTGATCATAGCTGTTGATGGACTCAGGATCCTTATAGTAATAGGGGCAAGTATGTTGATTACACCAGGAACAGTTGAGGTGACTTTTTCATCCAGGTACTAAAATGGTTTGTTACGGAGATCAGGTATGAGGTAAAGAAATTTCAGCTTTCTAGAGTTGAATTTACAGGCACTTAGTTTGTAAATCACTCACCTGCCTCTCCAGCTTCATCTTGCACCACTCTCCCACTCACTCTGGTAGTTTCTTTGGCTTTCTTTCCATTCTTGAAGTGTCCATGCTCTTTTTTAGTGTCCCTTACATATCCTCTTCTCTCGGTGTGGAATATTCTCCCTCTTCTCTCCACTACCTTTGCCTAGCCCAGTACTGTCCAATCTAAATATGAGCCACAAATGCAAATACATACGTGATTTAAAATTTTCTGGTACCCATATTAAAATAAAAAGATACAGATGATTTGCATTTTATTTATCCTACTATATCCCAAAAAATTTCATTTCAACATGTAAATAATATTTTAAAGTGAAATATTCTACATTCTGTTTTTGGTACTAAGTCTTTGGAGTGTATTTTACACTTACAGCACATCTCAATTCAGACTGGGCACATTTCAAGTGCCCAATAGCCATATGAGGCTAGTGGTGACTTTTTTAGGCAATGCAGAGTTAAGCCATAGTTGGTCTTTGGATCTCACCTTGATCTAGCTCAGAGATGTGTTCCCTGACCATACTTAGATACACACAGGCTGTGACAGTTGTTAAATATTCCCAAGACCTCCTATAGTTTCCTTTGTAGTATTTAATTTAGTTGGTTCTCTATCATGTCTATGTTATTTACTGCTCTATTCCCAGCATCTAGCATAGTGTCCAGTACATAATAGGTTCTCACTAAATACTTGCTCAATGAATAATAAAAATACAAAATAGAGGAATAGTCTGTGATCATTGCAGCTTGGAAAGCACCAATCAAATACCATGTGTTGGTAGTTTGTTGCCCTTGGTTTCTTTGAGTTTTGACCCTGTTTACCTTTCACACAACAGTCAAAGCAGACAGCAGCTACCATGATGTTTAATACAGATAGAAGGAACCCATCACAGAAAAACATATGCACAGTTTTAAATGTGTTTGGGTGGGGTCTTTGATTACATGCTTGCCAATTTTGTTGCTGTGCATTTTCATAAGGAGTTGTGCCCAAAACAAATTTTATTTTCTTGGGTCTCTCTTCTGTAAATAGTTAATGATTCCAAATAACCCTGTCCCCCACTTCCCCACTTCTATATTTAAGTCATTTTGTGTCTCTCTCGATGCAAGAGAATGTACTTCTTGGGAGGACCACAACAGACAAAGGCCATTAATACTCTGTCTTAGAGTTGAACATTTAAGGGATCAATATAGGTCTTCAGTTAGACACCTACCTACTCTATGATATATTTTATTTTTTATTTATTTATTTTTTTTTTAATTTTTTTTATTAGAGAGAGAGTATAAGCAGGGGGAGCGGCAGGTAGAGGGAGAGGGAGAAGCAGGCTCCCGCTCAGCAGGGAGCCTGACGTGGGGCTCGATCCCAGGACTCTGGGATCATGACCTGGACCGAAGGCAGCTGCTTAACCGACTGAGCCACCCAGGCACCCCTATGATATATTTTAAATGTTAGATGAAGTAGTAGAATATTGAACTTTTTTTTTTAAGATTTTATTTATTTATTTGACAGAGGGAGACATAGTGAGAGAGGGAACACAAGCAGGGGGAGCGGGAGAGGGAGAAGCAGGCTTCCTGCCACGCAGGGAGCCCGATGCGGGGCTCGATCCCAGGACCCTGGGTCATGACCTGAGCCGAAGGCAGATGCTTAATGACTGAGCCACCCAGGCACCCCCTTTTTTTTTTAAGTAGGCCCCAACGTGGGGCTTGAACTCAAAACCCTGAGATCAAGAGCCCTGTGCTCTACCGACTGAGCCAGCCAGGCACCCCAGAATATTGAACTCTTATAACAAAAAATTATGAAGTATTTTCAAGTCATGTATTTTTAAAATTTTAATTGAGAAGGTTTTTTTTTTTATTTCTTAAGGTTTTATTTTAATTCCAGTTAGTTAACCGACAGCGTTATATTAGTTTCAGGTGTACAGTATGGTGACTAACACTTCCATACATCACCCGGTGCTCATCATGACAAGTGCACTCAATCCCCATCACCTACTTAACCTGTCCCCTCACCGTCCTCCCCTCTGGTAACCATCAGATTGTTCTCTATAATTAAGAGTCTGTTCTCAAGTCTTGTCTTTTATTCATTCAATGAATACGCACATCCTGGACATTTTGCTAGGCACCAGGATAAAACAGTGACTGAGATCCAGCTTTTTACCCTTAAGAAACATACCCTCTTGTTTATCACAGACACTAAAGAGAAGTCTGATTGCCATAACTGGGCTTGCCTTCCTTTAAAAAAATAAATGGATTCGGGCGCCTGGGTGGCTCAGTCAGTTAAGCATTTGCCTTCGACTCAGGTCGTGATCCCAGAGTCCTGGGATCGAGCCCCGCATCGGGCTCCCTGCTCAGAGGGAGTCTGCTTCTCCCTCTCCCTCTCCCTCTGCCTGCCGCTCTGCCTACTTGCGCTCTCTGTCAAATAAATAAATAAAATCTTTTTGAAAATAAATAAATAAATGGATTATGATTCTTGTAAAAAGACCTTTTTTAAAGCTGAAAATTAGAATCTTGATTTAGCAATGGCCATTTTCTAATAAATTCTGGCCTGGCATTAAATGAATAATTATATACATAGCCCTAAATAAATAAGTGATTATGGCTGTGCCCAAATTGGACTCTTCTATAAAGCTTTCTTGGTCTGAAGACATCCTCTTTTGAGTCAAAATTGACACTACATGCCCTATTCTAGCTTTGTATTTATTGTATATTGCCCCATTTCTTTGTTCTAAAGAGTTGCTGAAAAACACAATCTCCTAGGTTTTCTCCATTACCTCAGGTAATCTTGTTCCAGATGGAAGAGGGCATCCAGAAGAGTGTAGACCCAGCCTTTGCCGGTGAGAAGTTAGCCTCCTCCTAAACCACAGGGCTATCCCTGTTTTGAAAGTGTGAAATCTGTCTGCTTCCAAGATGAAACCATTGCTTCCTTAGCAGTCCTTTGGTGGTAACGCTCTTGTATTGAAGTTTAAAAGTCTCCAAGCTTTATGTATCACATGCACTAAGCTTCTGCCTTTGCAGGGGTATGACAGGAACCCGTATGTGCTGCTTGTTTTGGCTGCTGTAGGTTGACAGTGGACAGTTACTTTCCCTGTTTAAATGAACGACTCAACTCCTGTGCTCCTGAGATCAAGAGCTCAAGAACATTTCAAGCTCAAGAACATTTTCTGTTTGAAAACATTTTACACTCGTATTTAGTAATTTTCCTTGCCACATCCTTTCTTATGTAGCATTCTAGATTGCAATCCTATTCCTCCTATATATTTCTGTTCTTTGTTAGGAATTACCAGGTAAAGAATGCATATATATTTGGCCCCCGTTGTCTCTGTTTGTAGAAGTGTTTTTTTTTTTTTTTTTTAAGATTTTATTTATTTATTTATTTGAGAGAGAGAGTGAGAAACAGCATGAGAGGGGATAGGGTCAGAGGGAGAAGCAGGCTCCCCGCCGAGCAGGGAGCCCAATGCAGGACTCGATCCCGGGACTCCAGGATCATGACCTGAGCTGAAGGCAGTTGCTTAACCAACTGAGCCACCCAGGCACCCTGGAGAAGTGGTTTTGTTTGCTTATTCAAGTACCGAGAGCCTACTTTGCACTTGGCATAGAAAGACAGAGTCCCTTAAAAATACTTTGACCTAGAAAATTTTAAACATGATAACGTACCTTGAAATAGTTATTTTAGTAATAATTATGCCTCTTATTTAGCTAATTTCATAATACACTGCACTCATCAAGAGGATCCAACTTGAAGGACATCAGATTTTATTTTCTCTACTTTTGAATATGGTAGTGTAGTCACAGCCCCAGTAAATCCTTGAATATACTGCATAGACCCTAGACTGTCCATTCCTATCAGAAGGAAAACCCTTCTCTTTGTAGTGTGAATCTGGTAGCAAAAGGAAGTTCTGTGATTTCAGACCCCTTGCCTTTCATATTTTTGAAGAATGGAAAAAATCCCTTATGGCATATAATTTCCCCCAAGACCAAATAGACCCATTCAAGTCTCAGCACTATTTGCTTACAGTTTTACCGTTTCTCACCTATGGAAGTTTGAGGTAATTGTCTCCTATTAGTCTTTCCTGAAACTTATTCTTCAAATGGGAGACTCCATTTAGTTACCACCTTCAGAGAAAGCAAATTAGACATTATTAATTCTTGTTCCTTGAATATTTATCCCCAGTAGAGCTTTACTCATCAGTTCTTGATCTCAGTCAGATTTGTATTCTATTTAAATTCCTCTCTCCTCCCCTCTGTGAAATTGTTATTTGGATGTATTTGCCATAATGTGCTCTGTTCACCAGACAGAATCACCTCAGGGGTGGTAAGCATCAACAAGTGCTGGGCCCCAAATCTCTAACCCATTGGCCTAACAGATTTGCTTTGTTTGACAGTGTTTTAAAGACATTTGAGTTTTGGTGCTTTCACACAGCATATGCTACAGTTTGCCGCAGGCCTCTTTCCCCTCTTTTATTTTGCTTCTGTCCCGGTTCCTCTTTAGAGACTGGAGCTTGTTACCCAACTAGGCCATCCTGTTGTAAGGGCCTAAGAGGCAGCATTTGCCAAGAACAGGGGGAGAAGATGCCAGTTCTCGGAACAGTAAGAGTTACAAGGTAGCTTTAGGAATTTACTAAATTGACCAAACTAGGAGAAATCCCTTTCATTTGGACAGGTCAGGTTATGTTCAGAACTAAAAAGTGTCTTTTCCTTCATCACTCTGTGAACAAGGATAGGAAATCGTTGCAAAGCAAACTGTTAAGCCACATGTCTGCCTTCTATGCTTCACCCCTTTTTACACTCATTAAAAAACAATGATGACTAATGAACCGCTTGATTTTGTCCAGGTTTGCACCACCCTCACCCCTGCCTCTGCCCAAATCCTGTCCTTGTGTTACTATGCAGGTAGGGCTGCTATAGATTGAAAGGTTGTTGCTCAGGAGGTCCAGTGATCTTGTTGCTCTTGTTCCCACAGGCATAGAATGTCAAGCTAACCAGGCGTCTGCTACTTCTGAAGAGTGCACTGTTGCATGGGGAGTCTGTAACGTAAGGAAACATCTTTCCCTATCAGCATGGCTTGTAAACATATTACCACTTTTCCTGCTTTGCCAGTCTTGAAAATAACTAGGAAAAAAAATGCCTAGCCCACCTTTCTCCCAAAAGGTATACAAATAGTAAAAAAGATTTTAAATCTTTGTAGTATTCACCTGTTATAGGTTAAAAATTATTAGTTATTGCAGGGGCACCATTTTGTCTTAATCATAAAGTGGACCCACTTTTGTTAGCAACATTTTGGGGATTCATCTTTGGGAATTGCCTGCAAAGCCTGTGGCAGTCTTTGGAATATTCTCCCGTTGGTGGATATCTTTACCTTCTTAACATCTTTTTTTAGGGTTGTATGCCTTGTGGAACTAAGTTTGGCGAATAAATTGTGTGTTCAAGGGCCCGTGTGTGTGTGTTTTAAAGTGTGGCAAATGTACTAGGTTAGGAATTTTTTTTTTTTTTTTTTAACGTGGCTCATGCCAGAAATGTTTTGTCCAGCATCATTGGACTGAATGTACAGCCTTCCACGGTGTGACAGCTGTGAAGGATAACATCAAATATGTTATTTCTAGCATGTGTTAAAAAGTCATCTGTATAGCCATATAGTCCCACTCACATGAGCTAAAATTGTCCTGTCCTGTGCCAAGGGGAAAAAGGATCCACAGCTCCCAGCATGGCACAGGCCTAAGGGGCTCTGGAGTCAGACCACCATTCCCTGTCCTTGACTTACTTGCTAAGTGACTTCAGACATCAAGGTATTTGACATCCCCAAGCCTGGGTTCCCTCATCCTATAATCAGGATGAAATGATTTTATCCTGCCACATAGGAGACATAAGTGTCACCTTTGGGGGAGGGGGCTGGTTACTGAGCAGATAGTAACTATCAGTACTTCGGCCCAGCAGGCTGAGGCTCTGCCCTACCCGAGCATGTGCTGCACCTTCTTCATTCTGCCGAGGCCCTTTGAGCAGTTCCACAGTAGCCAGTATTGGCCCAATTAGATTTGTTGTTTATGGGGATAAAGAAAGAAAATATATTGGGCTCTTTGCGCTGCCTGACATTTCAGGCATACACCAAGGGCCACGTTATTTTTTGGTGGAAGGAAAAGGAAGTGAACTTCCCTTAAATTTGGCGAAGGCGAGACTAGCCCGGGGAGCTGGCCACAGAGAAGAGCTGGCGTGGTGTGTCAGAGACCTTTGGACCAGTGCTGGCTTCTAGTTCTGGGTCTTCTCACCGGCTCCATGAATTAGGCGAGTCACTTGATTTGTCTGAGTTTCAGTTTCCTGTCTGCAGAATGAAAGTAATATTACCTGTCATGATTGCGTGCTAGGGTTGCTGTGAGGCTCCAATTAGGTAATACATGTTAGCATCTTCTGTGAACTGTAAAGCACTAGGCAGTGTACCTTGAGACTGCTAAATGTACCCATCAACAGACCGTAGGTTATTAACAGGAAGAAAGTTGGGACCAGAGTGGTTCAGCGATGCGGTCACCTGCTCTGTAGCCTTATTTGCAGCCCCTCATTCCCTCCATCTTCCGAGGTAGTTGAGGGTATAAGGATCCTGTACTGCTGCAAGGTGCCTCATGGGGGCAGGGAGCGGGGGGGGCCGGTGGAGAAAGGCCTCTTGAATACCCCTAGGTGAACCTGTCCCTACTACCTGGTGACTGAGAAAAAAATGCCTCAGCTTTCTGCTTTCTAGAAGTTTTGTTTTTTTCTTTTTCACAGTGAGTTGTATGAAAGTCAACGAGTTGCATGAAAGGGATCTCCTAAAGCTCTCGCCCTGGGAGAGTATTTGTCCTGTTGAGCGCCCATAGTGTACTAGCTGTGGATTCCACTCTTAATTACCAAATTCTGCTTTTGTCTTTATTAAAAGACAATGGCCATGATGGCAGTCCACTCAGTGACTCTTCTCGAAGGTCCACGCATGTTGTGGTGGGGCCTGCTGACCAGATTTCGAGGCTGTTACTAAATCAAGCTTGCAGAAGCTTTCATTCTGTTGGGGTGTCAGCATTTCTCCCCTGTCCCCACCTGAGCCAGCTCATCACAGATGAGATGAGGGGGAGCACTTGCTGCTGCTGTCTTAATACTCTGCTCCAGTGAGGTATTATGAGTAACATCTGCCTGTCATTCACTCACACCAAAAAACTCACACAGATTTTCCTTTTGCCCAAATCTGAAAGTCACCTCCTAGTTCCCTGTCAGTAACCAGTTTTCTTGGTACTCTGGCCATTTTATTTCTGGCCTTGATCATGAAATAAGTCGTTTGATGATCTTTCAGCTGCTTGTGTGCAGTTTGTCCATCATAAGGCTTCCTTTTACCCTAATTTTTTTTTATCTCATTCTTTTTTTTAAGAGAAAGTGCCTCACCCCTTAAAGGCTTACCAAGTACTGAGCTGTTTTAATATCAGTACATCTTTGAACAAATCTGGAAAGAAGGTCTTTTGAACAGAGCTGAGCTGGGTGTGGAGAGATTGGGGACGTGCCCATCTTGGCTCTGGGTGGGCGGCAGCGGCAGGAGACGTCGCTGCTCCTGGGGTTCCCATTCTCCAAGGTGGGGGAGGGGCAGTTGGGGACAAAGAATGGGGAAGTTTGAAATCTGCCTGTGATCAAGGGCCTCCTGGCATGTGTCCAAGGAAAGTAGAAGCCTCCCCTTACAGGCTGAAAAGGACCAGGAAGCCACATTCCATCTTCCCTTTAGAGAAGGGGAGAGAGGCGCCCTTGCCAAATAATTTCTTTTTGTAGTGGTTACGACATTTCTAACAGATGTTCCAGTGGGAATGTCCTGTACCTGACCAAGGTGTAAGCAGTTGTTGACCTTTTGCCTCTCATTGTTTGTTGTCTCCCGTTGTTTGCTGGCCCCCCGTGTGTCACCAGGCCGCTGCCCTTGAGACATACTATCAGTAGATGGCTGAGCCTGCACAGAATGATTTTTAATAAAATGTGTCTTCTCTTCCAGCATGCTTTTCACTTCCACTGCATCTCTCGCTGGCTCAAAACACGGCAGGTGTGTCCGTTGGACAACAGAGAGTGGGAATTCCAAAAGTAGGTGTCTCTGGCTGTTTTGGTGTTGTAAGACTGGGTTCTGTGGTCCGTGCCATCCTTGAGTCACCTCAAGCTGGAGGGTGCACAGTCTGAGAAGATGGAGACAGGGAACATACCTTGTTCTACAAACGAACTTTTGGTTAAACAAGGACTCGTCTATGAGGAAAAGGCACAAAGGTGTGGCCGACATTAAGTTTGCAGCCTGGAGTTTCCCAACTCCCAGGGTCTGTGAAAGTAGAAAATACGAGAATCTGCAAACTATTAAGTATTTCCAGAATCACCTCCATAATAAGGCTCCCTGGGCTAACCAATGTCAGGTATCTTTGCTTTGGACTAGAATCACATCCACCTATCCTGCTTCATTGGTTTATCTCATGCTGATTAACTCTGATATGGTATTTATGGCTATCTGAATTAAATTATTAGTATTACACAAATAAAACATGACATGGTAAATTTTTTAAAATTCAGATAGTCAAGAGGGCATACCAGAAAAATTAATTTCCCACCTTAGTCTCCTAATCTTAACTCCCGGAGGTGACCATCAGCTTCCTAGTACCTCCTATCTCCGCACATGTGCTTTCATGTATGTGGGTGGATATACGTATATAATTTTAACATAAATATGAGCATCCTACATAGTAATTCACTTTGCTTTTTCATTTCATACATTTTGGAGTTTTTCCATACCCATATATATCAGACTACCTCCCTTCTGATGGTTGCAAAGTATTTTTTATGTTGATGTACCGTAATTTATTTAATCAGTCCCTATTGATAGATGTTTAGGTTTCAAATTTTTCACTTGAAAATAGTGTGTAGGGTTGACCATCCTTATACATGAATCTTTGTGAATATGTGCAGGTATATTTGTAGCAGTAATTCCTAAAAGGAATTTCTGAGTAAAACTGTACATTTTTATTTTTGATAAAGTCAGATTTTCCTTTCCCAAGAATATGTTGTAATTTACACTCCCTCTAAACAATGCAGCAGAATGCCCCTTTCTCCATTTCCTGCTGAGGCTCTATTATCAAACTTTTCCATCTTAGCTACTCTGATAGTTGAAAACTAGTGTTCAGTTGCATTTTTTGAATTTTGAGTGAGATTGGCTACTTTTCATATGTTTTTATGCCTCTCTTTATGTGAAATGCCCTTTTTTGTTGCTGTTGAATTATTGATCATTTGCTTTATCAAATTTTTTATGAGAAGGGGGATTTTTATTTAAATATGAGTTTTGGGGCGCCTCAGTCGTAAAGCATCTGCCTTCGGCTCAGGTCATGATCCCAGGGTCCTGGGATCGAGCCCCTGCATCGGGCTCCCTGCTCATCGGGAAGCCTGCTTCTCCCTCTCCACCTCCCCCTGCTTGTGTTCCCTTTCTCGCTGTGTCTCTGTCAAATAAACAAAATCTTAAAAATAAATAAATTAAAGAAATAAATATGAGTTTTGGGGCGCCTGGGTGGCTCAGATGGTTAAGCGTCTGCCTTCGGCTCAGGTCATGATCTCAGGGTTCTGGGATCGAGTCCCGCATCGGGCTTCCTGCTCCTTGGGAGCCTGCTTCTCCCTCTGCCTCTCTCTCTCTCTCTCTCTGTCTCTCATGAATAAATAAATAAAATCTTAAAAAAAAAAAAAAGAAAGAAATATGAGTTTTGATTAATAGGATATCATTAAGTTTAAAAAACAAAAAATGGGGTTCTTGAGCTTGTTAAATGTTTAGAAATCCCTTATTGGTACCGTTATTTTGCTTTTACACTTGGTTATTTATTTTGGTAACGAATTTTTGGAAGTCTTATCGAATGCACCTTCTTTTTTTTTTTTTTTTTTAAGATTTTATTTATTTATTTGACAGAGAGACACAGCGAAAGAGGGAACACAAGCAGGGGGAGTGGGAGAGGGAGAAGCAGGCTTCCCGTGGAGCAGGGAGCCCAATGCGGGGCTCGATCCCAGGACTCTGGGACCATGACCTTAGCTGAAGGCAGACGCTTAACGACTGAGCCACCCAGGCACCCCTGCACGTTCATTTTTTAAGAAACCTGCCAAATACTCGGTGTTTAGCTCATACCGTTATCCTTCGTTCAGCAACGTGTATGCTACCTTATGTGTAAGATACGAAAACGTGTGAGACAGTCCTTCCCGAACATCCTCGGGAGCTCGAGTTCTGAGTAGAACCATGAAGTCACACATATCAGGGCAAAAGCACTTTTCTACATTCTCAAGAGATTGGTAATTGGCTCTGCCATGGAGCAGGCTCCAAGTTCTGTTTTGGACCCAGACTTCCCCCTGTTGCCCATTAAATATTCCCTGGACTGAGCCGAGGCAGTGGGGGGTTTGAAGACTTCTTGTGTCGGGCTTTGACACCACCACTGTGTCCAGCCAGCAGCCTTGTCACAAGGCCATGCTCAGCAGTGCTTTGTGAAAACAGATTCCTAAGGAGCAAATGATGGCATCCTTTAATGTGATGGACTGGGTTTCCCTCCAGTCCACTAACAAACACTGGAGCTCTACCCTGTGTGGAATTTGGCACGACAACTTTTTTCTAGACAACATTCACATAGATTTCATACGAGAAGTGCTTAAAACATCTAGTAGTCCTTCAGGCTGATCGAAGCCATGACCCAGAGTTCGAGTGCCCTGGTTATTATATGTTAGACTTTGTTATAGGTATTTTATTTATTTTTATTTTTTTAAAGATTTTATTTATTTGACAGAGAGACAGGAGAAAGGGAACACAAGCAGGCGGAGTGGGAGAGGGGGAAGCAGGCTTCCCGCAGAGCAGGGAGCCCAATGCGGGGCTCGATCCCAGGACCCTGGGACCATGACCTGAGCCGAAGGCAGACACTTAACGACCGAACCACCCAGGCGCCCTGTTATAAGTATTTTAATCAGAGGCTAACTGTCCATAAAGAACTGGACAAAAGATTGAGTAAGATAATAATGAAGGATTTTTGTTCAAGCAGTCCGTTTATATGTGGAAGAAATTTCCCGGCCTTGTTTGTTTTTATATAATCTTGTTAGAGCCAAATTTTGGCTTTTGGGGAAATCAGAAATCACCTGAAATCCATACCTCATTTCTCTACAGTTCTCTTTCTGCAGTGCTGAACGTAATCAGGGCGGAAATTGGACCTGGTGATAGATTTTGAAATTGAAGGCTGTTCAGTGACTATTCTCCATATTTGCCTGAGTAGCAGATTTGAAGTGAAAATAAGCCGCAGTGGGAAGGGGAGGCCGAGTGCTCAAAGGGTGTCTGAGCCACTGACTGGCGCCACCAGAGCAGCTCCCTGTCACAGCCACCGGTTCTGACTTTTCCCCTTCCCTCCCTAATACTGCCCACATCTGTCTGGTAACTGGAAGGAGGATCAGCTAGGTATAGTTGAGGCCCGTGGAGAGACTGTCACTAAGAAGAGGGTAGTAGGTAAAATGTTATGCAGGATAAAATAAAAGGGGCAGAGACTTGTGTCAGCCCAATCTTGGAGTACACTTGTATTCACATCTTTTAAAAGTTTTCATTACATCTGCTCCTATGTTTTAGCAGGTTTTGTAGTCTCAGGAGGAAATTACTAAGGAATTAATAAAATAATTTACTTTGTCTTTCAGGTATGGGCACTAGAAAGAGAATTCTTCCATCGAGCTCAACTGTTCTGTTATTCATTTAATGACTTGCCCTCCTGTTACTTAATTATAAATTAGATAGAACTGTGTCTTTTCTGCTTTGTCTTTTCAGTTTGCTGTTCCTGCAGCCGTATTGTATTCTGTGTCAAATAAAATCCAGTTGGATTCTAGAACAGATGCTGTCTCTTGTGTATGTGAAAAAGTGAACGTAAATAAAGGGTCCCCTCTTCCTAGGTTAGAAGGTTTCCTTTCAAAAGTGAGATGTTTCTTCATTAGAGCAGAGTTGTCCTGTGAGCACATCGCTTGGTCACAAGGAATCCTGGTCCACAGCCTGATCATCGATGGCAGTCTTGGGCAAGTCGACTCTCTGCTCCCCCTTTCCCCTATAGAATGGCTCCTAAGAACTAAATGGCATCAAATGTGCACACAAAGATTTGTAAACTGTAAAACGACTGTACGAATGTTAACCTTGACCATGTATGTGACCTGTTGCTTTCTCTTCTTAGTTTAGAAAAATAAACGTGAAAAAATCTAATCTGTAATTTTGTCTGGCAAAAGAAGAATTTATGAACTCAAGTTGAAAATTGATGTCACTTAAAATGGAATTAAAAAGAATTCAAGTTGCCTCTACCACCACCATCTTTTGCAGTTTGTTTAAAATGTCTTGGCCATGGGGATGCCTGGCTGGCTTGGTCGGTAGAGCATGCGACTCTTGATCTTGGGGTCACGAGTTCAAGCCTCATGTTGGGTATAGAGATTACTTTAAAAAAAAAAAAGTCTTGGTCATGGAAGGAATTGCCAGTTCTAAAACTAACTCAGTGGTGATGCAGTCTTTAACTGAGAAACAGTCTAGTTTACTGTATTTGTTCTCAAACTATGGTCTGAGGACTCCTGGGGGGCTCCTGGAACCCTTTCAGGAGGTTCATGAAGTTCCTGTTCCACTACATGGCGGCATGAGGCCAGCTTTTCCTTATATCCTCCAGTCAAAGCAACGCACTGAATGAAGAAGCAGGCGGGAGGATCCAGCTGTCTTCTATTAGATACAAAAGAGATTTGCAAAAATGTAAAACAGTGCCACTCTCTGATTTTTTTGTTTTGAAAAATAGTGGCTTTTAATAAAAATATTTGTGTTAACATGATGGGTTTTGTTCTTTTTAAGTCTTTTAAATTTCTTGGTTTTGATTTCCATTTTATATATATAGATGTGTGTATATAGAGAGAGATAGATGTATCTGTAGGTGTTCACCCACAAAGACAAAAATTCTTTGAGGTCTTTAGTTTTTAAGATCATAAAGGGATCCTGAGAGTAGAAAATTTAAGAATCTCTACCTTAGTGATTAAGAACTTCTAAGTCTTGGGATGCCTGCGTGGCTCAGTCGTTAAGCGGCTGCCTTCGGCTCAGGTCATGATCCCAGGGTCCTGGGATCGAGCCCTGCATCGGGCTCCCTGCTCCGCAGGAAGCCTGCTTCTCCCTCTCCCACTCCCCCTGCGTGTGCTCCCTCTCTAGCTGTGTCTCTCTCTGTCAAATAAATAAAATCTTAAAAAAAAAAAAAGAACTGAAGTCTTAATAAACCTGGATCAAACCCACCTTCCTGGGGCACCTAGGTGACTCAGTCTGTTAAGTGTCCAACTCTTGATTTCACTCAGGTAATGATCTCGGAGTCATGAGATCGAACCCTGGGCTCTACACTCAGCGCAGTGCTTGAGATCCTCTCCCTCTGCCCCTCCTGACGCTCATGCTCTCCAAAATAAAGAAATAAATAAATCTTTTTAAAAAGATTTTTTTCCTCCGCTAACAGCTAGGCATACAGCAAGGGAGGTAGCTGCTGCTGTTGCTGTTAATTTAGGGCTACCACCCTTGACAATAGCCAATTTAAACCCGTTTCAAGTGGTCATTCAGACGGCGTGAATACTTAGGGTAGCGAACACACAACTTTTCACATAGATGACTAAGTATTTGGTGAGTTCTGCTTGAGTACTAGTACTGTCGCTTGCAGAGTGCAGAAATCCAGCTTCTGCTGAGGTAAGGGACTTTTATTGGCGGGTATGGGGCCATGTAGTCAGAGAAAGGGCCCTATAGGGTTACATTTGGACAGAAGAATGAATGGAACCAGGGAAACGCTGCTGGGATTCCCCGCTACTCTCACTAGCCTCATAAGGCAGAAAAATGATGCTGCCACCTCTTCTCCCACAGGTGCTATGCAAGAGGGACCAAGTTCTGATTCCCCAAATCCCAGCTGCGTCAGGTGCCCATAGCAGGACTAGTCGGTAGATTCCTGTGGAACATAGTGACTGCCTGAGAACTCCGTTGGCATGGAGGGTAACAGTTCCCAGAAGAATGGGAGGGATGTGGGACAGACAACACAAGATGGGTCTACTTGGAGACATGCTAGGGAGTTTTTTCCAACATTGAGCAAAAACATCTTGTAACATATATATCCAGTTATTCTTGTGGTGCCTCATGAAACTGGTGGACGTGAATCTTCCCTGAGATATTAGTGAGATTATTTGCTGAGTGCCTGCTGTACGCTAACCTAGAGGACACAGCTGAGTCAGACAAAATCTCTTCCCTCAAAGAGCTCACAGGACTAGTAGGAGACTGCTGAGAAAAGGAATGAATATGGAAGTTCATTCTGGAGAGCTTGACAGGGCTCGGATCTGGGCTTGATCTTGAAGTGCCCATTCTCTCTTGGTTTTCCTTCTGTCAACTCCCGTGCCTTGTAGGGGCTCCTCTTCTTCAGTCCACCCTGAAGATTCTGTCCCCAGGGTTCCGCTCTGTCTGGGAGACGGCATCCTCACCCCTAGTCCCAGTCGCGTCTGGGAGCTGATTGTGCACTTCTCTTCCCAAATCCACTTCTGTTTATTTTTATTTTTTTTATTTATTTTTTATTTTTTATTTTTTTTTAAAGATTTTATTTATTTGAGAGAGGGAATGAGAAAGAGAGAGCACATGAGAGGGGGGAGGGTCAGAAGGAGAAGCAGACTCCCTGCCGAGCAGGGAGCCCAATGTTTTTATTTTTTTTTAAGATGTTATTTATTTACTTGTCAGAGAGAGCACAAGCAGAGGGGAACGGCAGAGGGAGAGCGAGAAGCAGACTCCCCGCCGAGCAGGGATCCCAGGACTCTGGGATCATGACCTGAGCCGAAGGCAGACGCTTAATCGACTGAGCCACTCAAGCGTCCCCAAATTCCCTTTCAGTAACCTCACTTTGGTAGTTTGAAATTGGCCAAGGTGGGTGTATTTCACACCACAGAAATTGGGAAATGCTGCAAATCAGAGCTTCCTTTCCCTGGAGAGCCTGTTGTTACCAGCACGCTACTGCATAGTTAGCCGGCTTTAAGATAATGGTATCCAAATGTGTCTGTTGTCTATCCCCGGCTGTGTGTCTTGTAGACGCTGCAAGCTCAGGATGTCGACTATGACTGACCTATCATTTTCCCAAACGTCCCCCTCCTCCTGGATGACCTAGCCTGGTTAATAGCATGGCGACTCATCCAATTCCTGAAGCCCAGGCATTCAAAAGGCATTTTAGATACTCTCCCCTCCTTCGCCCCTGCATGTAATCATGAAATGCTCTTCACTCTACCATTGTGCTCTCACTAAAATCTGTACCCTCTCCTCCATTCCCGCTGCCACGGATGGAGCTCAGGCCTCTGCATTTTTCTCGAAAATAACTGCCGTTCCCTCTGACTGGTCACACTGTCATTGGTCTCTTGGCTGCAACCTGAGGTGAGTCTTTAATTTTGTCTGATGCCCCTCCCACTGATTGACAAATTCCCCATCTTGAAGGAAGCCGAGTTCGTTTCCCATCAGACTTTGAACATGCCTAATCCTGGCTCCTCCAGCCTCCTCGCAGCTGGAACCAGGGAGGTTACCTAACCTCCCCCGGAGACACTCACCCTGCCGCCCACTGCGGCCGTGGGCAGCAGGCCCGGCAGCACCCAGGGCCCAGTGCAGGTGGCAGAATGGGTTATGACATCCAGTGTTCAACAGTCTCAACAGCCAGCACCTCCCCAAACTGGTTTTGCGGCATAGTGTTGGCTGGGGTCCCAGCGGCTGCCTGTTTGCTGAGCCCGATTCCCCATCATTCCTGGTGCTGCTGTGAACTCTCCAACACGCTTTCCTTTTTTTTTTCCCCTTAAGATTTTATTTATTTATTTATTTGAAAGGGGGGAGGGGCAGAGGGAATCTCAAGCAGACAAGCTGACTCTGCACTGAGCGCGGAGCCCAAAGTGGGGCTCTATCCCACGACCCTGAGATCATGACCTGAGCCCAAACCAAGAGTCTGACACTTAGCCAACTGAACCAGCTAGGCTCCCCTCCAACATCTTTTCAGTGTCCCCTCTGCTAGAAAAATCAGCCAGCAATTTTCTTCTCAGCTCTCGTTATTATCCCCTCCTGTCCCTACCAGTGGGCCCACACCTTTTCCTTATTCACTCCTTTTTTTTAAAGTTTATTTATTTATTTGACAGAGACACAGTGAGAGAGGGAACACAAGGAGGGGGAGTGGGAGAGGGAGGAGCAGCCTTTCCGCGGAGCAGGGAGCCCAATGAGGGGCTCAATGAGGGGCTCGATCCCAGGATTCTGGGATCATGACCTGAGCCAAAGGCAGATGCTTAACGACTGAGCCACCCAGGCGCCCCTTCCTTATTCACTCTTAAAGCATTCCTAAAAAAACCTATCATTTCATTATACTGTCCTCTGATATTTTTCACTCATCTCCTCAGCCAACAGATCACTCTTCTAATTGTCTATCTTTTCCATTCCTTGTTTGTCCCATGTTTTGATTAGGCTCTTTTCTTTTTTCTTTCTTTCTTTCCTTTTTTTTTTTTTAGAGAGGGAGAGACGGAGAGGAAGAGGTGGGAGAGGGGCAGGGAGGGAGAATCATCAGCAGGCTCCACGCCCACTGTGAGCCCGGGCTTGATCTCATGACCCTGAGATCATGACCTGAGCCGAAATCAAGAGTCAGATGCTTAACGGACTGAGCCACCCAAGCACCCCAATCAGGCTCTTTTCAAATCAGAATTCACTAAAGACTCGATTCCCTGTGTAAGGACATTATTTTCGTTAGATGCCCCTTCTTTCCTTTCTATTTGAATCAATTTTTGACCTACCGTAGAACACCTTTTGGGGGCCTCTTGCCTCCACTGAGCCCGCTGTCCATCCCCCTAA